GAAAGCTATTGTAAAATTGAATCTTAATTCCAAATATTTACTTTCAAAGTAGACCAAACTCTTTAACTCAATATAACATGAAAAATTTGTATCTTGCTTGAGTAATTTAAAGACAGAAAATATATTACACAAATATACATAAAGAAAAAGATCTATTCTTTTTTAACTCAAAAAAGTTTTGACTCTAGTATTTCTCACCGAGAGGCTGAATAGCCACTTGTTCTAGAGTTTGGCCTCAGCTTCCACTCATCTCTTAAGCGACTGACAACATCTTGCTTCGTAAACGAATAGCCCCTTGATGCTCGATGTTTTGATGAAAAAGTCGGGGACACCGTTCTACCTGAATATGCTTTGTACGGCTTTACATTAGGCCATGTATGTCTAAAGATAGAAATAAAGAAAGACTTTTGAATAAGAACTTCAACAAATTTATACAAAAACAGGCTAGAGCACAGTAATTGCTTTAGGAAGAAAAGTAGAAAACTAACAACATTTTTCGACACATTAGGTGGTTCGACATATTTCGACATAATCCACGTGTCCCTGACACATTTGGAGCCCAGGTTTAAATACTGATTCGATGGTGATGCATTTATGTAAAAGAAAACAGGGTATTCGGTATCGAGCGTTTATAGCTCGATTTGTGCCACTTCTAGACACAAGCTCCTTTGGGAAAGCATTCTAAGGTTTTTTTTCATGCAAAAATGAAGAAACAAAGACAATTTTTTGCAACATAAAAACAAATGTTTTGATAGACATAGAAGAAGGGAATTTTGTTGCTGATTTTTCTTCTTCTAGGCGACTTGAGCAGCCAAATAACAATCTTACCGACCAACCTCTGGAAAAACTGGGGCTATCACAGCCTTAAATACCATCATATACCTTCCTGTTCTTACGTACCATTGCCTACTGAAGGAAATTATCATTGAAATGGGGCTACAAATAAGTACAAAACCAGCAAATATATACCAACCTTCGTTCAATTTTGCCACTTTCAATAATCCATCTCCGGTCGATTGGAATAGGTTTGTGCAATGTGCCTGCCGTTCTGTTATCCTTTGGTGCGTTGTAAATACTTAGGCCTGCTAAGTTCATGATTGGAGTGGGCGTGCCATTATCTCCGTGGCTAACAGAAAACACGGAACTGTCCATCTCACCAATGTCTGATCCTCTTTTGGATTTAAAATCCCAGGAATCGTTTAGAGATTCTAGGAAATTAAAGCAAATGAGAGTTGCGATACATTTTTCTAACCTCAAACAATATAATATTTTAAGAGAGTTTGAAATTTAGTTGGAAAATGCAGCAACTAGATCCTGTGTTAATTCTTCAAAAGTAATTTGGCAATTTTTATCAATCTAAGGAAGAGCTAAAGGAGAGGGCATTTAGAGCCCTTGGTAAGAAGGAAAACCAACTTTAAAAGGGGCAGATGATATCTTGATGAGAAGAGTATGGAAGAAGATGGAAGGACGAGATAGTTGAATTTATCAAATTTGATAGCGAACCTATCGTGATCTGGGCAATAATGTTTGTGTATTATTCCACCATGAAAAATTCCCTGAAGAAAATTTAACGGAGAAAATATTTGTCTGAGTGCTATTCAGAGCAAAACATGAAAACCAGATTCGTTTGTGCTAAAGTGATGGAACATAATTAGCTTCATGAATTGATTATGTACCTAATTGTTTTTTGTGTGCATGTGCTGTCATTTTTTATTAAAAATTGATACTTGAAGATTAAAAGATTTTTATGAAAGAAAGATTCATTTTATTCTTTGATTCAAATATTCTCTCATATCTTCTTTCAATGAATCTTCTTATATTTAATCACTCATTACTTATCTCCGGGGATCTAAGCTCTTCTTTGCAACGCTAAAAGTAGGAACTAGCTTTACAATCAAGACTTGATAATAAAAGCCAACACACCTCGTACATTGCGGAACCTGTATTCCCTGAACTTTCCTTCCATGGGTGCTCTGATGTCACTATTGGCCCTAATAAAGTCAATCCTATGGCCTTCACGTGTCAGCCTCTCACTGGTGTTTGCCGTTAAGATCTTGGCTACTTCTGCCGATTCAATGTCATTGTTATCAAAGACGGGACTGTTCTTGTCTCTGGATCTCGTGTCAAGACATAGATCAAAATCTTCGTCAATCTTCCGTTGCACTCTCTTTGCTCTATCAAGTGCAAAATATCCATTGCGAACGATCGACTCTTCCTTTGAGCCATCACTTCCTTGCAACGATCGGTCCTGGGTGCCTTTTTCCGAATGTGTATTTCTATTTGTGCAGTCTTGCAATGGCTGTCTAAATCCATTTCTTTTCAAATCAATTAACGGCCTAACTAGCGAAGTAGATTGTCTATTGAAATACGCAACATCTTTGCCATCTTGTGAGATAAAACTCGCTATTTTACTTTTCTGACTTTCATTGATGAGTTTCTTTGCTGGTGTGAGACACCTCTTTATTTCTCTAATGTCATTCTCACAATTATTTTTAACAATTTCTATTTCATTCTCCACAAGGCCTATTTTCTCTTCAATATTTTCCAGTCTATTTTCGTAGGTATTCTTTGGATTAACAACTATAGGCGTGTCTCTTTGCGAAGTATGTTTCAGGATGCCTCGTTTTGGTGTTGGAAAAGACGATACGACGATTTCGAAGGCCGCGTCAGATTCGCTTGTTGTGTCCTGGCTGTCATGATTCTCGATTCCGTTAGACAGTTCTGGCGGTAAACTTAAGTCAGTTATATCTAAAGGCCCATCGTCATACACGCTGTCGTCATTAGCATTGCCATGGTGATCTGTAACGAGAAGGGAGGAGACATCAAGAACAGAGGAACACCTCAAATAAAACATTAAGGAAACAGAGCTTTTGGAAAGGGTTGCTAGCGTGTGGTGTCACAATTTTGTTTGTAATTGTTAATACGTATTCCCATCGCCAAATTTTATTATAAATCTTTCATACAGCTAACTTTCAACATAGCGCTAAAAGCAAATCAAACTCATCGTTTATTGTTTCTGGCTATTTTCTATCAGCAAGTCAGCACTATCCGACCTTTCATATTCCAAAGAAAGTCTGACGCAAATTCTTTCGGTATGTCGTGAAATATGTCCAATTTTCTGTGCAACCTTCAAACTTTTACTCTTTACGTTCACAGGCTATTGGTCAAAGAACAATTCTAGGGTCGTATAATTTTACCCTTCTTATAGATCGTTTCTTACTTATTCATTAATGACATTCAAATAAATTATTGTACTAAGAAAGGCAAGTATTTATCTTCATCATTGACAATCATGCCATCAAAAATTCAGAATAATGAAACTGGATTTTAGGACCTTTGCTATTAAAAAAGTAAAACATTTATATAAAAACTGAAGCTGGGAATTTGGTCCGAAAAAAAGGCCTGAGGCAAACTGATCTTTTGTCTAAAATCTAAACAATAAAGGATAATTCTAAAAAATGAGCAACTTATTTAGTACCTGCTGCCTCCCAGATATCATCATTTTCGTTGCTTTGGCCTCTAACAGATTCGCGACCGTCTTTGATTGGCGAAAACAGTCCTGTTATTCCATGGATATGGTTTGCTGTCGATTCTTTTATCGAATTTCTATCATAGTGCATATGGGGTTCGAACTTGGATGCAGACATCATCGAAACATCCATGTCATCTTCACGTTTGATTGGCGAAAATCCAGGTATCTCAACGGGCGCAACTCTGGTTGATTCTATTATATCCGCGAACGAATCTGATGGTTCGGCAGACATGGTTTCAACTGCGAAGCTTTTGGGATGGAATGCGACACTTTTACCTCGACGATCACCTGGTGAAAGCTCTAGATCCGAGCTTACGAGCTTTTCTGCGCGTAACGGCGAATTTTTTATCGAAGATATAGAAAAGTCAAATGAGGAATCAGACGAATCGAGTCTCGTAAAAGATTTGGCGATGTCGATGTCGTCATCTTCGTCGTATTCATTGTTGTTGTTATCGTCTGCTGTTTTGATTGGTGACAACACGGGACTGTTCAATGGGTCACAGACGAAAGAAGACTGGAGAACTGAGTCGTTATCTGATGTGACACCCTTATGTGGCGTCCCATCACGAAATGGGCTGGATGTCACCTACAAAGCCAGGGAAATATTTCAAATTACGCTTTGTGTCATATGAAACGATTTTAATGGGAGTTATGTGGCATGTTTCTAAAGATCACGAATTTCCCATTTTGGAGATATGTTACACTCCTTAGGCAAAATACATCGAGGATGAATTTTTTTAAGATTAGGCAAAAATCAGCCCTTCTTTATTTTCTTACACGTGTTTTTTTTGACATACAGATGAATGTGAATTTTAACGTCACATTTAAACTGATTATTGTTATTTTTTGGGGATTTGGTACTGTTTTGTCTAATCATACACGTTTATTTGCTACAACCGAGCTCTCTCTTGTGAATCTCTGTTCTCGCAGGGTACCTTCAACAATGCGGTACAAATGCACTAACGCTGAATAGATTTCGTGTATGAAAAACTAAAAATAGCACTATAAGAAGATAATATATTTCAAGCTTTGGAAACACAGCCCATCACTAGCCTGGGATCAGCCTTATCAAATGCAAGTTATTCTTAAGTGGTCTTCGTATAAAGTACTTTATATCACTACATCTCGATAAGAAGCACCGTATTATATTACTTAAGCGTTACAGTAAAATTGTGCATCGGGATTTTGCTCTACTTAGGGACTGCAGAAGAATAACAAAATTAAGGGAAATTTTTGCAAATGGATGCTGAAATATAATGCCCGCAGCCTTAAACAAAAAGGGAGAAAACATATAAAATTTCATACCCAGTTTGGAGTGCGAGGTGTTCTTGGCGGGGTGCTGCCACTCTTGATTCTAAAAAATTAAAGAAATATCTGTAAGTAAGATCGATATCTTCCCTATGTTTGAAATTTTTCCAATAATTGAAATAAGTTGTATTTATCAACATTAGAGTGAAGAAAGTCAAATATCTTGAAATCATGTTACAAAAAATATTATCAAAAACAGAATGACAACAAGACTTAAATAAATAAATGATTTTGCAAATATGTTATGATGTGAGAATATGAAATCATCAACAATAGCTAATCAAGTCAATGCAAAAATTGGCAAATCAATCTGGATTATTTTACCAAAAAATTTCTGATATCACTAAGCTCTAAAAAAAATACAATAAATTGTCAAATTCACGCCACTTTAAGCTTTTAGGAGGTATATTTTTTTCTTACAATGTTTCTTCAGCGTTATCACAAACGTAAATGTTCTTCAAGCATATTTGTAACTTTCTTCCTATCTTCATTTCGTAAAATAGTAATGCTTCCCAAATTATAACAGCATTTTCGTGAAAAGTATCTAGTCTAGTATTTTACGATGAAGAATTCATTGCCAAGAGATCAATTTTCTTGGGAGGTTTTATCTTGGTTTTCTAAATACATCACTTTTCCGGTAAAAACGACTGCAGGGCATACTCAGCAAAAGTTCAGTCAACTCTTTGGCCTTAAAAAACATAACCACGAAAAAAATATTAAAAAGTTTAAAAATTCGTCATTTGGCACTGTAACCAAAAACTGGTCTATTCTTCCAATTATTGCTGCCGTTGCAACAAAATCTTGGAATTCATGACACTCTAGTCAGATACGCAGAAAGATCTGGAGAACATTTATTTTTGAGAAGAGCTTTAATCCAGTTACACGAAAAAAGATTCCTGGACTTTGCTCCTGTATGAATGAGAACACTTCATAAGGCTCAAAGATATACAAAATTTAAGTCAACCTGGAACTCTCCATGAACTAGCAAACATTTTGGCAAAACACACCTTACAAAAAACAGTTTTTCATGGTAATGTCCTGTCTTTGTTTCTGTTTATCAACCAATCTAGCCCGGTTTTACTGTATTCTCAACCACTGTAAGCATAAACCAGTTAGCTCTTACCTTGCTTTTAATCCATCATTATCTTTAGCATCTTCCTCATTTCTTGTTGGTGATACCTCTCCTTGCGAAAACAGCTTTCGCCTTAGCGTGCTTACATTGATGTCTTTGGTAGTCGGTTCCTTCTCTTGTTCTACATACGTATAAAATTTATCTCCTAGAATCGAGACAGATCATCACATAAATCATAATTTGGCATGAAATTTCGCAATACCCAGAAATATCAGAAGCAAAAACCAAACCATTTTTACCACTACCTCTCTTTTCCCCAGCCACGCTCAAAAACCATTGTTTACTGCTTGAATAGTATATATATATATGTTAAAAAATAGCGTTAGTTGTTAAAAGCAAAGTAAGTAAGCGAGTAAAGCATTGACTGAGAAAAGCAAGAAACTGAAAAAAACAATTTTAATTTGTTTAACGATCTTATGTTTCAAATGATATCAATACTAGACGACAATAATACCAAAAGGACTTTAAATGAAAAGATGTCATGAATTCCACAGTAGGCAATTCTGAGTGAAAAACTCCGTTTGTCAGTTCCAAGAAAGGATGGTAACGATTAAACAAAACTTCATTAAAAACGTGATTGTTTTCCTGTATAACAAATACTAGGTAATGCTTAGCAAGTAATACTTACCTAAAAGTTTCATTAAATCGAAATTCGGTGGTATTGTTAACGTTGTTTGGCATGAGCCTGCAGTAAATGAAAAGTAAAATGAATAAAATAGTTACAGGATCCGCTGATCTTCAGAAAGTGATAGAGGTATAGCACTCGATACTGTGTAGGTAGAGCTGTATTGACTGAATGCATAAGAGCAGAGGTATATAATGAACTCAGTATCGGAACAGAAGCCTTCAAGAAAGCAAGAGAGGGTTTAAACAAAGCTTTGCCAAAATTAGAGGGAAAGATAGAAGGAGGGCCAGGTTAGTAAACTGACACTCTGTGTTGTGACTGGCTAAGTAAAAACAAGATCGAGGAAGAATTACGAGAGTTGACAGTTTAAGTAGGAAAGAGGGGGGGGGAGAGAGAATTGAAGGAGTAAGAAACTGAAAGAGATTTTGAAGAAGTAAGATGCAGAGCTAGAGGCTTAGTAACCAGGTAACTGTAGAATTAGAAGAACATTGAGAAGAAGAGTCTTTAGGAAGGAAGGGACAACCTAATAGGTATTTGCCATTTATTTTCAATACTTCTCTATGGAAATGGGTGTGTGTATGGAATCAGTGAGCAGAATTCAAGCTCATAGACTTAATCTGTATAAACAATGAAGCGATGATCAATGGATGTAAGGTTTTCCAATAAAGGACATCAAATAGGAGAGATAATATTGTTGCAAAATGCTTTAAAGGGGACACCTCCCAACAACAGCTCTAATTCCGTATTTGTCTTTGATTTATAATTGATAATCCAATTTTACCAGCAACATTTTCAAAGTTCCGTAAAAGTGGTGGCTAGACTGCCAACAACCACAATACAAGATTACTGAAATTCAAACTTCAACGCCCAGAGCGCTCTAATTGACAACATGCTCTGACAAGCAGGGGGAAAACTCTGAACTTCTCTCTGGAATCTGGTGAAAATTAGTTAAAAAGGTATCTGTAGGATGTTAACGAAAAATTCTGAAAGAAAAGTACTTTATTCAAACTCTTGGAATCACATAATATTTAAAATTTGATTATTTCTCTTGTAAGTAAATAGAAAAGATTATGTGTTTAATAAATGGCATACCATCAACAAATTTCTTTTCACCGTCATTTTGACTGCTATTGGCAGAGGAACTGCTGCTAGACTCATAAGCTGCTTCTTTGAAATCTTCAATGAAAATCAGAATTAAATAGAAATATACATTGGATAAAAATTCTATAAATAGTTCAGTCAGATTTTTAACAAGTTGACTTGTAAAATAACTTTAGCTCTATAAACAAATTTCATCAAACTGTTTGCTTTTATCAAACTGTTTGCTTTTATCAAACTGTGGCAATTGAAAGGTGAGGATGACTAGAATAATAAAAAGTGCTTGCTAATAAAAAGTAGCTGAACAGTGCTTGGGTACAGGGAATGACCAAAACATTGTTATTGTCATGAAAGATTATGTTGATGAAGTGTCTGTCAAAGGTAAGATAGGCTTATCTTGAAAAAAAGTAAACCCATTGAAGGTCTCAAAGAGATATTACATGTTAAAATATGGAGAGCATATTATACCCACAAGCCAAATTTTAGACAAATTTGGCATGGTCTGCTTGCCTGTAGGGTAGCCAGGGTGATAAGATTGGGGGCAAAGGCACTTTGAGTGAGGGAAAAATGGGGGTCAAAACTCTTTGGCACACCAGAAAATGCCTTTTTTCAAAGAGATTTTTTGCCATTGGGGGGGGGGCATCCAACCTCTCTTGCTCCTCCTCACTGCACTACTGCTGCTTGCCTGTCTGAGCAATGATCAAGTTTATTTTTAAATATTGAGCTACTTACATGTTGGTGGATGGGGTGAAAAGGTCACCCTTTTAAAAGCGTGTTCTTTGCTATTTCTTGTCCATGGAGATGGTAATATGACATTTGAGAAATACTAAAAAATTAGAATGATTCGTGTTATAATGAGATAAGAAAGATGAATAAGGAAATTTATTTCAATTTTACTTGGCTAAATCAGATGTGGTACTTGATTATCTGTTAACAGATCAATATGATAATAAATTGACTGCAGTAAACAAAGTGAAATGAATTTGAAGGTAGCAGTAATAAAAAAGAAATGAGAAACTATTCTAATAAAAAATAATAAAAAGAAAAGCTGCAAATAATTTCATGATGGCTAGTCTGTCAACTTATGCCAAGAACTTTCTCGTGGAATTACACATTGGACATAGAAGCCTTGGTTGAAAAAAACTACTAGATCTGAGGTGAAGCTGAAACATAAATTATCTAAGTAGCTTGCAAACAGAGAATGCTCAATTCTTGACAATACCTGAAAGCATATAAATAAAAGACAACTTGATTTGACATAAACGTACTTCATTTATAGCATTTTGTGCAGCAATTTCATCTTCTTCTCTGAAATAAAGAGATTGCTAAGTGTTTTAACCGAGTGAAAAATTAGCTTGAGGCACATAAACTATAAACAAATACGAGGATGCATTTTGCAAGCAGCAAGGTAGAGCTAGGGGCTGAGCCTGCTTTCTATTTCTTGATATTGTTCATGAAGACATTGTCTAAAGGGCCTTCTTTTCATTTTCAAAGTACAATATCTTAGGTTTAAGAATTTTTTTGTGATTGACTGATCAGACAAGCTGCTTTTTATTTTTCCTGATCAATGTTCTAAAATTCATAGCTCTGTAATCATTTTCTGAAGGAAATACTTGTATCTAAACATGAATTCTTTGGTGAACAGGTATCGGGAAAGAAGGGTACATAAAACACATTTCATGCGTTTTAAAAGGTTCTATTCTAGTTAAGATGGGAAAAATCACAGAAATTGGATGCACCTGGGCTATTTATTGCATTGTATTCCATCAGCCTGTTTTAGGTTAGAGGGTATTTTACGTTTGAAAAGCTTGATCGAAACATCCAGGCTTATTTAGTTTTATTTTCTGCACCCAAACTACTAAATCATATTTACACTATTTCTAAAAAAATTCAATTATCCTTAAATTTATTTTAGCATTTTTTCAACTGGCCTATCTTCTGCATCACAATTTTGTTTCGAGCTTTAGGCATACCTTACCAAAAGTGGCAAACTTTCCGTTTTGGAGTTTGGGGCTAATGTCTCCCCTACGTATTTGTACTTTTTATAAGAAAAAGCTGATTTCCTTCAAAGATACCCTGTTTCAACAACCTGTAAAACTTTTTTGTTTCAGAGAAAGGTCAGAGAAGCAAATTTAAAGCAAGCACCTCTCATATGATGCACTGTACTCTTGATTTGGACATTCATCAATCTCTGCTGGCTTCTGCTCAAATAAAATCATAATAACAACATTTGCTTGTACAAATAGCAAGAGAAACATTTATTCATTAACAGATTTATAAACAAGCATGTAATGGCCCAAACCAGGCCTATTTTTATAAGCTGATCGATTGAAGAAGGAATGCAGGCTGACACACAACGTTTTCTTCTTCTGTATAACTTTCTTTCTTTGTATTAAAATATAACACTCACCAAAGCAGCTATTTGATCTATGGACCATCTGAAGCTTTTATTTTTCTGAAAAATAAATTAGTTGGTGATAATATTGATATTTCTACCAAAGATATTTGATTTAATGACTGCTGGGCAGAAAATATAAGCTTATTATGTTTAAACTGAATTAATATAGATTTTATTTATCATTCTAAAATACCTTTTCTGAACTTCTACATCCTGACACAACGAAAATTGATGGACTAAACGCTGGTAGATTTTCTTTATCGAATTCTCGGCTGTCGAACGGATTCCGTGTGATTTCAAGGTCATCTTTTTGCATAGACTTGCATGGAGTGAAATCCATGGCAGCGTTAGTCTCTGCTGGGTAATTTCTTCTATCTTAAACGGAAAATCCACAAGCAAGCTTCTGTTTCTCCACCAAATTCCAGAAGATGTCTACATGTCAACCCAACGCCATTGATGTTTCTCCCGTTATGTACCAGAAGAACCCTGGGACAGAATTTGAATTTCGCCCGCCAATCGACCCAGACTTCTAATCTCCAACTGAGGCCGCAATAAAAATAATAACAAAGGAAGTCGAGAAAGGTTTCAAAAACATAAAACTTGCTTTTAACTAATAAGACTAATTTTTCACACGAAGTATAAGAATCTATAGAAAAACTGAAATAAATACTTAATTGATTTTTGACAAAATATTTACTTATATTTTCCAGTTTGCCTTTTCATTTGTCTACTCTGTGCCTAAGTACGTAGAACTCACTGGTCGAAGAAGTCAAATGGAAGACCATTGATGGTTTTATTGGGAATGAGCCAATGAGAATAGATTCAATGGGCGTGCTTCATAATACTTCTGTGAGATATTCACAATAAATTCTGGTCGGCCCTATAATTACAGCCACAGCACTGGAACAGATATGAGGCGAGGATGAACATGAAAGAACATGAAAAGGTCAAAAACACCTCTCCTTTGAATGCGGTACCACCTTAGATGTGCTATTAGTGTTGCGTACTGTGTCGAAATCATTAAGCCAACAACTAACATGTTTCTGCCAATTTACAACCCTCTTATCCAAAAAAGTGTTGCTAAGCATTGCATCGCAACATAGAGCATTTGTTTATGTTCAGCAGCTGAAGGCTTTATTCGTATGCAATGTTTGAATAGCTGTTGTATATCCTCTAGTAAATTGAGTAGCAACAGCAATTTTATGTGACGTATAACCCAAATGAATGTTGACAACACAGACTTGATGCAACCCTTGGATTTATTGATGATAAAATGAAAGCCAATTTTAAACGATGTGCCATTACTTTGTGTGTAGTGCTGTACACCATGTTTGATTTGCTTCGATGTCAGGTAAAATCTTTATTACCATTGATACTAGAATACATTTTGTAAGGGCCTATAAGGAATTATGCGTATTAAGAAAAGGCTCTATCAGCTTGTTTTGATTTTTTTTTACGAGAAACCTTTTAGAAACAATGTAAAATACTTGAACAGTGCTAACAGTGGGCTTACGTTCAATTATTACCATATTTAGCCTAAAACCCAGAGCAACAGGGTGAAGAAGTTTTTTCGTCATCAATCTTGTATTTCTATTCCTAAACCATAAAAAACTCATTAATGAAAGGAAATGTTTTCCAGAGAATCTTCACAATCGCCACAACTTGTGTAGTTTGTTTTCACAGCAAGGAATGGCTATATATATTTTCACTTCAGTTGTAGTCACATCAAGTCACATCAAATGCTACTTGAAGATCTGTGACAGTAAGCAAACAGAGTGTGTAAATGGAGCTTAGTAGTACAGTTTTGCGTAGTTAGGTCTAAATTTGATGTAAACGGAGGCTTGATATAAACAGTAAGATAACAAAGTGAGGGGGTGGCAATAGTGGCCGGACGCCCCCCCCCTAACGGCAGACAATGTCTTTAAAAAGACGTTTTCTTTCACTCAACTCGCCTCCCCTCCCCCCAATTTTACCACTCTGGATGAATTGTCTACGGTGCACAAATAGACCAGAGGGTGGAAGGGGACCACCACCACCCGAGCGGAGAATTTGTGAGACCAATCCATTCTGGTTCAGTTTTTTGCGTAGATTTCGAATTTGGGTGTTGATCAACGGTTTAAGGGGGCTTTCCCGAGATATGGGGGGTCTAAAGACAAATTTTTGGGGTTAATTGCTACAAATTTGGTTTCCTCAATAAATTTCAATAAGATAAAGATAGATACGTTCTTTGACTATATCTATGATTGTTGGCTGATATTTGAAAGTGTTTTTCTATATTTAGAATTTAGGGTGTTAAGGGAGGTGTAAAAAATTAAATTTTTTCCAAAAGAAAACATTACTGTTACAATATATTTGAATACTATCAAGTCTACCCAAAAAATTATTCATCTTCATCCCTATCCTCAGACATATCAATGCCTCTTCTTAAGTCTTCCACTTCTACAAGATCGTCAGCCTCCACTAGTAGTTTCGAACATCCTCTGGATTTTGCGAAAAAAATTCATTAAACAGAATTAGAAAAGTCACCTTTCCACACGTGGTGTACTTGAGCCTTCTTGCTCTATCATTGGTTGAGAGGCTTGTCTGCACATATGTGCAATGTAATTTGAACGCTTGATGTATCTTAAAAGGCTGTTTTTGCATGGTGGCTGCAAAGAGAAGTCTGTGATTTTTGACCCTTTGAAAAATTTCTCCAAAAATTTTTTCGTTGAATATCATGAACAGACGATAATCTCTTTTCTCCAAACAACGCACACGTAAACCTTTCAATACCCCCAATTACATAATTTATAGGATTACTTGATGCCCCTAGCTTTGCAAAAGTTGTGACGAATGCTTTTGTGCCTTGCATAAGCTTCCAACTTTTTCTAAAAAATACCTACCTACCTACCTCCCTTTCTACCTTCCTCCCTATCTACTTACCTACCTACCTCCCTATCTCCCTTTCTACCTACCTACTTACCTAGCTACATACCTACCTATCTATCCATCTACCTACCTGCGTTCCCGGACATCGAGCAGCCCCACTTCATGTACACACTCTTCGTACATGAAAATAACGAAATATAGTCATTTCCACTAAATGCATGCAAGCCAAGCGGGGCTTCTTTTTGAAAGACCGATAATTCACAAGCAGCTAGAGCGAAGATTTTTCTATTTTTACCTGTCCCACTATCAATAAATATTTAGAAATGAGGTTCCTGCCTAGCAAGCAAGATAACAAGGATGTTAATATATTATATATCTCCAAAACAAGAACGCAAATCGTTTCTCGACCTTCGTTTTGTTGGAGAGCATGATGCAGAAGAAAGCAAACTTAAGCTAGTGATATTTATGCAGCGATATCTATATATATTTTTTTCTTTGCGAGAAAAATTTATCACTCTGTTCCCTAAATGACAGCCTTGACGAACCCAGATTCTTTAACCAACTCAAACAACCGCTCTTTATTCTGTCTTTTCCTCAGAAACGCAACGAAGTTAGGAGGAATCTTTATGTTTGGCGATTTGATGAAGAAATGGTTCTCTGCATTCTTGATGAACCAATCGGCATGTTCGAATGCAATATATACACAGTTGTATTGTGTCCGTAATTCATTCAGCAACTTCGTTGCATGCCTCCTGAAAGTGTCCGGTATTCTAACTGTAGATCGAATGGTGGCAACCAAATCAACAACAAAGCAAATTGCCTATCTCCTCTTTTCTGCCCTTCTTAAGGCTGGTAACTGTGGTATTTATATGTGCCTCATACTTCTAAGGACATGAGCTTCACGAGACAGCGAAGAAGGGTATACTATCACCGAACTCGGCTTCTAACCTCTTTTTAACTTAGTCTGCTGTTTTCGTTAATGAAACAATACATTCCAGTTAAAGTCTTCATTGCGACGGATCGGTTCATGATTTGTTATATATGAACACACAGGAAAGAGTCAGCTTACACTGTTCTTCGCTTGTTTCAAGTACTTCGTTAGTGGAATCGTGGACAGCTGTAGAAGTAAGGGTAGTCGACTTCTTACTACAAAATACTGTGTACTTATTATACCAGGAAAGCTTTACCCTCTCTTAATGCTGGAGCTTTTTGCAGTGTTCGGCATGATGAAAGTTTATATAAGTTTCAATAGTTGCTTCTTCCCCTTATTAACATTGATAGGCCCTTGTTATTAGGCGCTTGCTTTCGTCACTGCTTTCTTTTTTAAGGAGATGCCTTTTTGCTTACTTTCTTCCCCTTTTGAGTTTTGTTTGCAAAGACAGATACGGCCTTCGTAAAGTTCAGGTAACACTGGCGATATCGTTAAAGGGCAAAGGATCTGATCTTCAATGACTAAATGAGTGTAATGAACAGCTCATCTTCTTTTTCTGTTTGCCATATATTCTAACTACTTTCATAGTTTACTCTTGCTTTAATCACAGAACATTGAAAATGATAATGAATTTGTAAGCAATGAAATTGCAGTTTTTATGTCATTTGAAAGAAAATCCAAACCTATACACTTTTACACTCTCAATGGTCTTCAATGTTAACAGGTAATTATCGTTTAAGGCTGTGAAGTACATACAAGTTACATTCCTAGGTTATGACACAAAACCATGTGTTAAAGTACTTCGCATAAAGATTTGCTTTTGGGCCTCATTTCCTTTCTGATCCATAGCAATAAAGCTGTAGTTATATGAAAATCTCCATATCAGTCATTACACATGTCTGAGAAAGCCACATTCCTGGTGAGTACAAACAGCCATTTCCCTATGTGATCATGCTACAGTACTCCATTCAGTTGCGAAAAATTTTCGTGGAATTTTCAGTATATTGTACTCCTGTTTCGTTTTCTATGCCCCCTCACTTCCAAATGAGAGTCAACAAGCATAGATATCATCAAAAAACTGACCTGTCTATATTTTATTGACATTTATATTAGCCCTAAAATCGGACTTTAGACCCCCTATATCTCTGAAAAGCCCCCTAAAACGGGGGATCAACACCCAAATTCGGAATCTACACGAAAAACTGATCCAGAATAGATTGATCTCATAAATTCTCCGCTCGAGTGGTGGTGGTCCCCTTCCACCCTCTGGTCTAAAAATAAAGTTGTGCTGTTTTAGTTGAAAAACTAAAGACCAACTCTTTTTACTTACAGGGCTCTACCGCTTAAGTTCACGACCAATTAACAATCATTTTTAATCTGTTTGCACGTAGATCTAAGAAACCTTTGCTTGAATAAACTAGTGTGGATACATCTGGTAAAAAAGCAACTTCATGCGTTATCAAAAAAACATGGCATCGTCATGCAACTCCATCTAGCCTTATTACTCTTTCCTTTTCTTTTCAGAATTCCAGCAAAACAACCACTCCCAGCGTCCCTGCTCCTGCCGGTATTTTTAGCTGTTCTGTTGTAATTTACTTTGTGACTATAATATGAATACATGGAAAGTTTGGGTTTGATTGACAGTTGCCTCTGTTTGACTGACAGATTAATTTCTGTTTCCTTCGCTTTATATCTAGGTTAAAATTTTGTTTTGGGCGCAGACTCGGGAGCTTTACCTTATCGATAGACATTCAACTTGATCACATCCCTTTAGGAAGGTTCCAAAAGGCATATAATATTTGCCACTACCAGCAAAGTAGTCATTTTCTAATGTTTTCTGAAAGAATAAAATATGAAATTCCTCATAAAACATTGTGCAAAGACATATTTTGTATATCAATTACTATTCATGTATTTCTTTTATTTTTCATTATCGTTTGTTCTATCTTAGATACTCCTAGTGCATTTTTGTTCCAATGTTCCCAGTCATATTTCTTGGACCTTCCCTTTCAAGATTTTGGCAAAATGTCCCCATTAAAGATACAAGATGTTTCCATGTTCCCTTTAAAAAACAGCAGACTTCCATCACCCCCTGGGAGATCCTCATTTTACTCCACGTTGTTGTTTTGCTTGCTGTTTCTCTTTTTAAAAAGTTTGAAAACTGAAGCAATTTTTCTATTATTTTGCTACCATACTTTATTTCGTACATTTCTGGAATAGCCTCAAAGAAAAATTCTGTTCAATTAACAGGATTGTATTCAGGGTGTATAGTTTATTTTTTCATTGCCCTTATAGAACATTCTAGAGTAATTTTTTCTGTTTATTTTTGCAGGTTGTGGAAGTTCCCTCACAGGAAGCGGTGGTGTTCTATTGTCCCCAAACTATCCAGTCAATTATCCTCCAAATCTTGATTGCACATGGGAAATTACTGTTGATGAAAACAAATTCATTTTGCTTCAGTTTGAAGACATAGATATTGAAAATGACAGTGGATGCAGCTATGATAAGTTACTTGTACAGGAGAAGAGCGACGGGGTGAGATAATCAAATGCTCTTTCTTCATACAATTATTGTTAACATGTTTATCAGGTATTTACTTAAATTATGAGGAAGGCAAGAGTGAATGTAATAATCCAAGTTTTTTCTTCCAGTAGTAAAACCGCCGTAATTTATAACATCAAAATGATCCACGATATACTGAGAATTCCATTTTTGCCTTTCCCTTACTGAAATATAGGTAATAGCAAAATACTGCATTCGCTATTGGCTTTTTCTATACTATAAATTCCTTTAAGGGCATTCAGTATCAAAGATTGAAAAACCTTGGAAGATTGCTATCAAAATAAGTCTAATCTTTTTGTTAATAATGGTCTTTTTTGAATCATCTGTAACTAAAAAAATATTATTAACCTTGATCTAATAATCGAAATTACCAAACCGATTAAATCTAGAGATAATGATTCATTTTTGTCCTTTTTGTCCATTTTTGTCCACTGCAGTCAAAATTTAAGACCACTGGAAAGTTCTGTGGCTCAAAGGTCCCAAAGCCTTTTCAGACAAACTCCAATCTCGCCAAAATACTTTTTACATCAGATGACAGCGAGAATGGGCGAGGGTTCAATTTGACATGGAAAGCGATTTCAAAGGAAAAGGGTAAGAATTAGCCTGAACTTTCAGAATAAACTAAATTCGTGGGTTTTGCATAAGATAACTACAATTAACACAATGTTTTGTCAATAAAAATATTTCCAAAATTTAGGTTTTGTATCGGGAGAAGTGTAGGTTTTGTATCTTTAAAAATTTTACTCATCATGGACAAGTTATTCCTGGAGAAAACCGTCTGGCTAAGGAGAAATAGCAAGATTCTGTTAGATTATTAACAGGGATGTAGGGCTGGGGGGCTCGAGGGGCTAAGCCTCCTTGAACATGTCAAAAACGTAGCCATTGAGAGATTTTTCTCGAGAACCCCCTGTTCTTTTCACAGTGTCCTAATTATCAAGTGCTATGTGAATTATACACTTGCTCTTTCTTCACAAGTTTGCAGAATGTTTCAAGTAGGGCATTAGCTGTAATACTTTTTCCCACGTGTCTTCTTCTAAAGACTGCGGCAAAGAAGATTTCAATTCAACAAGCGGATACGTGACGAGTCCGAAGTTTCCACATCCATACAGTAACAACCTAAACTGCAGCTATGGTATTCATGCTGCACCAGGGTACCAAGTGTCTTTAAGAATTTCTGAAATGGACATCGAATACGATGCTGGCTGTCAATACGACGTACTTGAGATCTACGATATAACACGGACTGGAAAATCCCTAATAGGTAACCTTAAATCTATAAACACTGATTGCAATTAATTTGAGGTGTAATATATGCTACTGAGCATGCATGAATGGCATTTATTAATGAAAGCAAGGGATATTTCTGAATCTGAATTTCTGAAGATAAGAAAATTATCTTTTCTGTACAGTGAGACTTGTTGCAGCCCTATTCATAACTCGCAGCCATTCTAGGTTTTGCAAGGTTGTGCTTCTGGAAATTGCAGCCATGATACATTTTAACAGTAGAATGATGGAGTTAGATAATCATTTGAAACACCAATTCTAAAATGTTTCATGTTATTCTCTTGACTCATGTTAAAGTTCGAATACATGTACAAGAGCAAATAAATAAATACATGAATATCGTCAATAAATCTTTCATTTTCCTTTTCTCACTTTGGAAATATTTACCCTGGGATATAATTCAGTTTAGTAAAAATGAATGTATTGTCTTCAAAGTGTCCCAGCATTTTTTGAAATATATAACGTTGTACCTTTCAATAATTGATAAACGTTAACATAAGTTTTATATAGAATGAAAAATTATCAAATAGAATAAAAACATGCATTTTTGATAGGTCGTTTCTGTGGCAATAAACCTCCAAAAAGCGATCTACTTTTTCATGGCAAGCAAGTCTTAATAAAGTTTAAGACAGATGACTCTACTAATGGAAAAGGTTTTAACATAACATGGACATCCAACGAAATATCTCGCGAAAAAGGTAAAAACTTTTTACACTTATGGGCAATGAAGTGCGACAGTAAGGGTTTGCCCAAAAAATATTTGAAAATGGTGCTTGCACAAGCCAAATTAACATAGAAATTTGTCTATGTATCACTTTGCATGTGCGAAAAATTCACAGCATCTTGCACTAATCATTACAATGAGCTTGCTAATTTGGTAGAGACAAATGTCTTTTGCTACTTTTCCTGCAAGAACATTTTTCTGGATTCAACTGGACCAATCTGGGACCCATTTTAAACAAATTCTCTCAAAAACTCCCCAGAAATCGCAAGATCTCTGGAATGTCAAACTTTTACTAAACTTTGACAGGAATTCACTGCATTCTTCGATTCATTCTTAATATAGATTCTTGCGAAGTCATTCTTAATAAAAGGCCTTTATGAATGGTCTTTCTTTAAAGGTCCTCCTTATAATCCCACGTATTTTTATGGAAATAATCTATATGTGGCTGTTCTGGATCCAATACATTGATGTAGACACAGTGGTGTTCACAGGCACTGCGCAGAAACCTTGGGCTAGCAGGCGCTATAGCCTCCCCTCCACTTTTTTGGAATAATGGGTTAGCAAATATTTAGAAAGTTTACTCTAGCGCAACTTTGAAAATTTTGCTCTAACAGATCCTAAGTAGTAGCATTGACTGGGAAACCTTTCTTGTTCATTATCTTGTTAATCAATTTTCTTAGTGATCTTTATCTTCTTTGAATCAGACTGTTTAAAAACAACAAGTTAAAAAAAGCAAGTACTTTCTAAAAGGGGGTTTTTCGGCGTTCAAATGGGCGTGGTCTCAAAAAAATTTCGGTTACACCCTTCCCAGTCTACCTATTTTTAGACTGGTGCGCGGTGCCTGCGTGTTCAACTGGTGCCAAAAGCACACAGACATATACGTTGTTGCTTCCTCTTCAAGGTAACCAAACATGTGGTCGAAAATACCACACAACTACCAGAATAGTCGGAGGGACAATCGCAAGTGCCGGAAAATTCCCATGGCAAGCAGGGTTTTTCTGGCGAACTGGAATTGCAATTGGAAAGTTCTTCTGCGGTGGAGCCCTGATCGATTCTCAGTGGGTTTTGACTGCTGCGCACTGTTTTGTGAACGGGAAGGTAGCATCTCTGTACAAAGTTCGCCTTGGTAAGTTCATCAGAAATTATATAATATATTCTATACAATTTTCAATACAAATTGCAATCATATAGATTCCAGAAGAACAATTTGAACAGAATTCAACTTGAAGCTTCCTATTGCCCGCAGATTAAAAACCTTGCCAAACTTAAAGCCGCAACCGATAGCGTGCAACTTGTACAGGGTTTTACAGTATCTCTTTTACTCATTCTCAGTGATCATAGCAAAAATTTGAAGCATTCTGAAGATATTATCTCTTCATAAACAGTCATTGGCTAAGAAAGAAAACTTGTGTCGTATTGCTTTGGCACTAGAAGTAATCTTAGTCCAACTTGTCGGTAGCATTTCCATTCTGTTTTCATCTTCAAATTGTAGGATAATTTACTTGAATATCATCTTAGCTTGACGATCTCAGCAAATAATGACTTTGTTCCTGTAGGTGACCATAACATCAAGATACAAGACGGATACGAACAAGAAATCAACATATCCAAAATAATAATTCATCCAAAATACAACATGACAACTTATGACAATGACATAGCGCTGGTACAGCTTGAGCGCAAAGCAGTGATCAATGAGTTTGTAAATACACTTTGTTTACCAAATCAAGCCCCCTCCGCTGGTACGAGATGTCTTGTAGCTGGATGGGGGGCGACTGTGGAGCATGGCAGGGCTTCAGACTTACTGATGGAGGCTGAAGTTCCAATAATAAACACGGAAATTTGCAGCCATCGAGATGTCTATGGATCGAAAATAACAAACAATATGATATGCGCTGGGTTCCCCCAAGGGGGCATTGATACATGCCAAGGTGACTCTGGGGGTCCGTTACATTGCAGAAGTGCAAATGATAACAATCGTTGGGAAGTGCAAGGAATTGCGAGCTGGGGAAGAGGGTGCGGCCGACAGATGAGATATGGGGTGTACACAAAGATGGCAAATTACGTCAACTGGGTATCTTGTCTTCTTGAAAACGAAAAGCCGTCTGCAGTCACTTTGTCGAGTGAGGAGAATGGAAGAAATTGTCTGTCAAACTTAACGAATCCCATTAATGCAAGCTCTAGCGTTACCTACAACAATAACAGATATAGTTTAAAACCAGCCAGCCAAGAATCTATTTTGACAGACCCTTACACCCATATGCAAGTTTCAAAAGCTGAGCCGTACATTTCAGTAACCGCACTCAAAACATCAATGTTTTCAGCCTTGAGGCTTGCGGGAACGACGGTAACGAAATTCTATAGCTTAGTCACAAACAGTGCGCTAGATTCCAACAGCAATTATCCTTCCACACTCGAGGCATCAGCTTTGACACTTTTTACGTCCTGGGAAAACAACCATGGAGCTGCTACGGCTACTACACATAGTTACAAAGTATCTGAGATAAGACCGTCATATGTATTAAGAAAATCACTCAAAACAAACGATTTCAATACAGAATCGCTTGACCAAACTCGCACGTCGACTCAACTTATACCTGATCATCAAAGTAGTTGGTCTAATACCTTGCTAACTGGCACAAGCTTTTTTGCTGAGAGCAAATCGAATGCCCCAAAATCAAATATGTCCTCAAATGGACATGCGACGCACGCGTATTCTACCAACATGGCCGCTAAAAGTGGGGGAGTGATACACTCGCCATCTTTGCCTGTAGCTGCTGTGTCATCCTTGAAAGTTAGCTTGCTAACAGTGGGTTCTGGATCAACTTCTCCCATTTTAAATCCAGCTAATATGAGCAACTGGAGCTCAGTTTTGCCAAGAAAACCATTTATCAATGAAACCTTCGCCCCTGATTCGACACATGCTGAGGAAGGGAGGACGACGTTGTCCTTATTACCACCACCAGATACAAGAAGCTCTGGGTGCATTCATAGCCCTTCGGTTCTCGTTATAACAATATCCTTGTTAGCCTGGCAGAGCACATAACAGCAATTATTTTCAGATATATCCAAAGGCAAACTTATTTACTCCGTAACGTCCTGAGATGAAGTGCAAATATTTTGAAGAAATGATTCCACTAGGGAGGTTTCCTCAACAGTTTATTGGCAACTGGACAGAAGTTATGGAAATCGGAATTGTACAGCTTTGCCTATAGATATTATGCTGGAAATAAAGAAAACTCTTTAAACCAAATATTTAATACTCTAAAAAGAGTTCAAATAGTACTTGGTAAAACAAGAGTTGCCTTGCTAGTTCCTCTTAAATGGCAGAATCTGTGAAGCAGTGATAACAATTCATGTCAATAGCAAAATATTTTTTGGTATGAGCTGTATGTGATTAAATGATTAAAATTCTAATTTCATAAACAAATTTCTTAAATATTGCAGTTTAAATACTGAGGCCAAAAATGATATGCAATAAAATTGCACATGATTGAAAATAATGATTATAATATTATTCATCCACAGCACTCTCCAACGATTAGCTTTCCTTGGCCATGCCTTAAAATCAAACTGTTGATAAAACTATAAATATCGACTAAGGCCGAAAACGGAAACATACTATTTTAATACTAAACTACAATAAAGAAAATACTTTGTCTTGAAAATACTTCGTCTTGAAAATACTTTGTCTTAAAAATTTGAGTATTCTTTAAGTCTAAGAACTGAAGGATATAATATCTTGGCATAATCTAAGGCAACATCAAAAAATACTATTTTGATTAGTTCATCATGGCTGGCTTTGCTTTCAATACTTAGGGTCAGCACCAGGCATTGTGCTCAAGCAGTTATCCACCTCCCATTTGCAAAAAAGGGTGAGCCATCTTCTATTTGTTGACAAGTTTGACAATTTGCATACTAAGGACCCCTAAATGGATGTCAGACTCCACATGCCCCCGCCCCCTCCATAGTTGCGGTCCTTGATTTACTGAAATCTTATTATCCTAGATTTGGGCTAATGTTACATTTTAAATCCAGTTATGAAAGAGAGGTCACTCAACATTAATATCCAAACTGATGTATTGTGTTTGATTGTAAAGTGCTTGCAGTGATGACAAACTAACAGGCAGGGTGATTGTAACTTATGGTAATTTAAAAGGCTTGAAAAAGCCATAGCTTTCAGATATCTCCACTTACAGTGTTCTTCAATACTATAACTCCTTGCAATAAATGAGCAGTCAGTCATAGTTCTTTAGTGTTGTGAGTCCCTAGGTACCTCTGTTGTTCCGCTTTCTGCTTCCTTTACAAGCCCATTGCTTCTCTCTCCATTCTCTGATACAGTGCTCAGAAATGCTGGTGTTAAGGAGTCTGGACCTTTCCCAGAAATGCTGTCTGTGCCACATTCTTGTTCACCATCATCATCATCATCACTTAAAAAGGGGTTTCCATCATATTCATCATTCTTCATAATAAGGGGGGCTTTGTCACTCTCTATCTTTTTGTTTGCTTTGGTTGCCTCTGGTTTGCTTTGACTCATAAACTTCTTAAAGGGCCTCTCTTCATCTTGGCTGATCATCTTATAATCATGTCCAGTATCCTCAGAGTTCCACCAATATTTAATTAACTCATCAAAATCACTTCCTCTTGCATATTGGAATGTCAGGTAGACTGAAGTGTACATAACACTTAAAGACATCAAAATAATCAAATTCACTGATAAGGCAAATCCAATCTCATTCCATGGGTAAACATAGGTAAGAATACTGAAATTGCCCACAGCAAAGGCAGAGTCAAAGACAACATACAAACCAAATAGATAGCCATGACCAGACATAACAGCCCCAAGTCCAATAACGAGAAGAGATATGAATGTAATTAAGTAGGAAAAGAGAAGGATGGCAAGCCTAGAAAAAGATTTATATTGGATAAAATGCCGCTCATCAAACCTTTGTTTAATTGAAAACTCGACACTGTCTTTGAAAATTGTAAACAATATTATTCCAATGTGATGAACCAGGCTGACATAGAGAACGATCCCAATAGCAGTTGTGAAGATGAAGAACAAACGACTTCCATCTGATTGTAAATATAAGCCACTGTTGCCTAAAAAGTACAAAGAAAATTTTAGATCATGAAGTTAATGCAAAAATTATTCCTACTTATCAGAAAAAAATTACACTGCAGACGATAAAAATATTGTCAAGTGTCTTTGGAAAAAGCAAACATTTTGTAACATTCTTAAGCTTTTCGTTTGACACTACTCAAGAGCATAAAATATCAGAACATAGATTAAAAAGTGTCTCACACTCTGAAGGGTGTTAGACAAAGGGGTATCAGTATCAGTGGCAGACACCTGGGGTGAGGGGGGGAAGGGAGTTACCATACCAATATTTTGGAGGACAATGGTCTTTTGTTCTAAAATAATGGGAAAATATGATGTCATTTTGTCAAAACAATATGCTTGCCCCCCCCCCCAATATTTGACCAAGTGCCTGTCCCTGATCAGTATGCTGTTTCCCCTTTTTGGCCCAATCTTAAAAGAATAAAAGAAGGCCTGTGAATACAAAAAGAAGGGTGGGTCTGCTGTATATCCCAGCACCTTTTACATTGGATACCTTGATAACAAGCTGCTCTATATCTCTAAAGCAATATCTTTTTGAATGAGTCTTCATATTTCCCACCTGCCAATGCAACAATGGTATCAAATAACACTTTTGAAAAATGATTTGTAGCTGAGTTCAATTCTGAAAGAGCAAACAGCAGCAAGTGCCTATAAAAACAAGTATGACACCAGAAATCTATACAGCTGGCCAAACTATCTTTGCTTTTTGCAGAACAAATATGTACAGCTTTTGAGACTAGTACTGTTTTTCAACAATTTTGTGGTGCACATATTTAAAGGAAATTTGCATTATTTATGTAATTGTCATCTTTATTGAGAACTGCTCTTAGCAAAACTTTCACTTGAAACAGAATTATTGAAAATGACAACACAGTTCACTGAAATAAACAAAAAGTTAGACATTTGTTCATGGGGCATATCACATAAAATAACATATACACAAAATGTTACTAGAGGAAAAACATAACCCACTGGTAAAAAAATTCAAACTCTGCACAACTATTGCTTTGATTTCTTTCTCCTTCACGTTCAGGAAAACTACAGTTTATTATAGACTCAACAATGTCACCCGAACCATCTCCCCCCTCGAGTAAACAAGCAAATCGCAAAATATGTTTAATTACCAAGGGTTGTAATTGTCGTCAGTGAAAACAGGTAGCATTTCCAAAGACTTTTAAAAGCTCTTTGCTTCTCAACTTGGTCATCTTTCTCAAAAGCAGTCTTGATTTCGTCTACAATTTCTTGCTTGCTCTTTTTTGGCCTACTCGGGACAAAATGCGTCTCCACGACTTGCTCCAAGTGATTTACCGTTTCCAGTTGACCCGGTCGCTCCAGATAATGATAAATAAGCGCAGAAAGAAAAATGTAGCAATGCACACCAACAAGTAGAATAATCACTCGCAATAAAAACATGCTTATATTGTTTCTTATAGAAGAAATTCACCTCCCTGCTCTTGTTCAGCATTCACGACTTGTTCCTGCAGGATGCGAGGGAATGACCTAGACTGCTGCACAGGCGCAAAAGCAAATGTGCAGGGTGCTTGAACCAGGGGTGTAAAACTAATTAAAAAGTTAATTAACAATAAGATATAGAGAGCGTTGACAATATAAAACTTACTGAAATCATCAAATAGAATCTGCTTATTTTATTTAGGCTGTTTTTCAGTGTAGAAAGCTTCCTTAGTATTAGCTAGATCATAAATATACAACTAATTCACAGTGTGGGAAATCGTCTAGAGTCTAGAAAATGATGGCAAATGAAGGTGGGAATGAAAACAGTGCATCAGATGTACTTTCCTTCTCAACATGAGCGATGAGGAGAGGATCTGTTACTTGAGAAATCCGGAACGACAATGCTTTTTGGTTTTTGGCAATTAATCGTTTTTATTTTTGCAGCAAGTAAGTCCATCTTTGAATTCCTTAATTTTTAAGTCTCCTAAGTTGCGTACAATGCAAATACAATGAAGAGCTAAGTGCAAGATCGTTTATTTATTCGTAAACTATGATTAATAAACATTCCACTCTAAAAATTTAAGTTAGCAAAACGAAGTCCTCTTAAATGGATGCCTCCATTACCAAGCAGATATGACCTTACAACGAGGCAGCCATTTTAATTACCGGACAGACCTTCTTTTTAAAATATATTTTTCATTTATTATCCAAATCAACCTCGCCATTTTTTAAATGGCAATTTTTACTTAACTATAAATCTTTTCTTCTGATTTAAAAATTCTTGAACCTATGGAGTCTCGTTATGTGCATCTTTATAAATTTTCACTTGTAAATTCACCACAAACCCCCTGAAAAGAGCTAGCGAGTTCAGCAAAAATTGCTAGGGGCAGCCTGGTCTCCTATATTGATGAGGTTTTAAAGAGGTTTAATGGAGCATAGAAACACGTTCATTTTAGTAACAAGCAGAAGGGGGAGAGTTGAATTTCTTGTATTATTCTGTGAGCATTCGAAACGCTACCTGGGATTGTTAGTATACTGGCAAGTGGCAATGAATGCGCCAGCAATCAATTTCCTGGAAACATACTACAATATCTATTGTCCGATTTTTGGAGCTCAGATTAAGATCTACCTCAATATTGTGAGTCCAGATGTGCTTTTTGCATTGCTTGTCATGGATTGTAGACTTTAAGATGATAGAAAGTTTGAAAACCTAAGTCGGATTTGGTAGCAAAAATCGCTCCGAGTGAAAATCGCTAATCACGTTCATATTTTTAACTTTATTGATGTCGTCAAAGATCAATGTCAGGGGTACCAGCATCAGAGAAACGCGCATGCGAACAGTTTCTGGCACTTTCATCGAATCTGAAGTCAAAAATTCAGTACAAAGAAGTTGCGATTTTTGCAAAACGAGATCACAAATAGAACTGGTGTATCAAGAAAGTAACGGTCAAGATTGCCTATTTGCTTTTTTATGCTATAGATCTTAATCATATTTGGAGAATTATGCCAAATTTCGTCAAATCAAAGCCTTTATTGGTACAAAATATCATCAGAAATAAAAAACCCGAGCGTGTAGCGTATTAACACCAAAGTCATGGAAAATATTCCTATATGGAAGATACAAATATCAAAATAACGAACATATTCTCTACTTGATGGCAGTGATCTTTATTTCCCAGCGGTCATTTATTTTCATTCTCAGTAACAAAGGTATTTTGAAAACTTTCGAGGACTTTTGGGCAGACAAACCAGCGTTTAAAGGCAATCTGTCTCGTTGTGGATTGGTTAACGAGAACAATAGCTGGAACAATAGCCTAAACACGGTTCCAGCGCTCCGCCATATTTTTACAATGCGATAAATTAAAGGAAAGACTGGAAACAATGAAAAATCCCTTTGTTCTTATAATCAATCAACGTTGTGACAGATTGCCTTTAAATAGTAGTAAATAAGTAACACCGCAACGCGACGAGAATAAACAACGACAAACACACATAGAAATCAGTAATGGCTTATATTTCGCCACGGCATACGAGGCTTCATCAGAGCAAAAGTAAACGGACTAAAAATATGATGGTCCAATCTTTAGATGTTATGATTGAGATAAAAACGACAAAAAACTCCAACATCACTTCCAATATTTTCTTGTTCTTGAATTCAAAAACTAGTCAATAAATGACAGAATTTGTAATTGTTGCTTATAACGCAATTAACATATTTTTCACCCACTTTGGGTTTAAATTCTTTTGAAAATAGTTTTTCCCATGTTCCTCCACTTGCTACTGTTGGTTTTCCTACTGGCAATTTCCAAGGGAGCGCTTGACACCCATTACATTCGCCTTAAGCTGTCTCACGTTGTCATGGAAAATGACAGGGTCACTTTCGTTGCTGTTCACCAAAGAGATAAGATCCTGAAGGAAGAAAAAGTTCTGCCTATTAGTTGAAAATATAGGCATAAGTAGGAATATATAAGGCTGTAAGAAAAATTACGTGTATTTGGCTTTTGAATGCTTTTGGACTTCTATATTTTCAGAATAATAGAATTGACATTCTATCGTCTAAATGATTCTAGGCATCTTCAAGAAAAGTTTTATAATTTGAGCAAAAAATACGCTAATGCTACGAGATGCAGTTGAGCTTCTCTATACTTCATGCAAATGATGTTTTATTCTTAGTGCTGCAAGGACTGCCATAACAAATTGACAGAGAGAAGCAAATGACTCAAGTTACGTCAACTACGAAAATTAAGCCACCAATTGTCACCAGCATCTTTTACGATTTCGTTGTTACTTTATATTGAGGAGAATTTAAAGGCAGTTGGGGTTTTTTTCTTCGCAAAAATTTTGCTTTTGAAGCCCCTTTTATGAAAAATATGACTGGATGATACATTTAAGACTTAATGGCAGTGAGTAAAAGTTTCTCTATTTCAGGGGAGCATGTGACATACAGCCAAAGCTTTTATTTTGTTATGTACTTGTGGCCATTACAAGCAAAAAGACAACAAAATAGGCGTCTATATTTGGTGATGTCTGTTTGTAGTGTTGACTCATGCCAGTACAAATGATATATATGAAGAAGTTTCTCTACAAACCCTCTTGATTCCTTTCAGCTCATTTACGGCTTCATTGAGGTACTGCTTGGGGATGTTAGATCTCTTGTAAGCTGCTTCACCAATGGCATGGAGCTCGTTCACATAACCGTTGAAGTCAGTGTTCTTCTCTTTTTGCAAGATATGATTAATCTGGCTTCTATATACTGGCAAGGCAATGTTTTGCTGGTCAGACATTATCCTCTCGGCCTTGGCTTCCCATTTATCCAAACCTTTAGGAAGCAAATATGTTCTTGGTAGCAAAACATTCAAACTTTTTGAGAAAGCAAAATTGAAAAATTTGAAGCCTAATATATAGCCAATGAAAACCAATATTTTTCATATAACCTCTTTTGAATTCCAATAGATATTTTTTGGCAAGTATCTAGCGCATCTCTTTCGGACACAAATTACCAATAAGTTTAGCACGAGCACAAACTAACTTTTGTGCCTTACTTTAGAAACTGAGGGGCTTTCGGTTGTTAGTGGTAAGCATTCATACAAATATTTAAGATACAGTCAAGTTTTACAAGATATTCACTATTCATTTCTTTAGTAATTTATTATGTTTACTACGGTTTACATTTGTTTAATACGGTTTTCTAGGGTTTACTACGATAAATCAGGGTTTCTTTCGATTTTGCGGCTACAGCTAAGCAAGGATAGGATTTTTTCCAAGATGCTCCATTAAATTACAAAAAAACTGCTTAAATATTCAAGAAAACAAATACCTTCCTGTGCTTCATTGTACCAGTGGTAAAGATCTTCACGCTCTTCGTGTGTCATATTATGAGCCATCTCTATAGAAAATCAAAGAACAATTGTGTCATCTCGCACATTATATTTGAAAGGTGTATAGATCAGTGACCTGTCAAAGATTCGTTCCTGTTATTGAAATGATTGACAGGAGAGGAATAACGATTCAGCTTATTTGATTGGTTAATCCCAGATTGCAAGTGTTTCTGGGTGTAATCAATACAGGGAGCTAATGCTGTGCAGATTTCTTTTAAAACATTAGCAAACGAACTTATGGGTGTTCTCTTCGGGACATCCCAATCCGGGGAGCACCGTGTTCTCTAATTCTCTTCTTGGATAAAGTTTGCCTTCATACCTGTGCCACTCCAACTTAAAAATGATTTCTACGTCAATGGATTGCTTGTTAAGATTCAACAAAAAGCAAAAGGGAGGAAATATATATCAATCACAATATAAAATTCAGGGATATGATCATACCAGTTTCGCGAACCTTGTTTCCAAGGTTTTGCACTTGGAGTTGCAAAGATCTCTTTGTTGCTCGATAGCCGCCTCCTGCTTGTTTCAAAGAGCTGGCTGTTGCTGCGAGGCCTTCAGCGATGTCTGAATATTTATTCATGACCTTCTTCAACTGAATGCAAGGTGACGATGCATGCTTTTCCCAATCTAAAAGAAATTTCGTAACAAATTAACGGAGCTTTAAATGCGGTGTTTATCGCATATTTTTTCATTAGTAATTGTAGTATTAAGGCCTTCCTAAAATGCTGAATGAAAGGCATCGGGCATCGGGGAATGGCCTGAATGAAGGTAAAGGTACGAGGTTCCCTTTTCAATTGATTATTGTAGGAATGTGATTGAAATCTATTTAGGAATGCTAGTAATTTGCATAAGAATTTCGTTCATTATCACATGACAATTGTCGTCGTCGATTCTGAGATCGAATAAGGAAAATTCTTGCCTTTTCGGGAAAATCTTTGTCCATGGGGTTATAGGGTGCCCGAAAAACTGGCTTTGTTGGCACAAATTGGGCAAAGGTAAGAGTTAGTCGGCGAAGCTGAGAATCCGGTCAGGATAATCCGATCAACCTTGTGTCATACACGTTGAGGAGTTTTTTGGCTGCATTAATTAATCACAGGTCACCTAGGTCAGGGAACGCTCTCAGGCAAGACCCCTAGAAAAATTGCTACAGCTAGATAGCTGGTATTCACCATCTAGCTTTTTGTTAAAAGAAAGATCGAATAAGAGGAGACCTAAAGACATCTAATAAAAAACCAGCCTTCGTCCAATGTCCTTTTCTCTGCTGGTACGCCTTCATCCTGATGGGGAGCATGGTCGAAATTCTTTGCATCAAAATCTTGTATCAAAACCCATGGTGCAGAACTTTTGAATGCCTCTACTGTCGCTGCGCCTCTGGTGACAACGGGTGGCAGCCTCTCTGTGGCTAGTTTCCAGTAATAGGCCTCGTCTGCATTTGGGATGTAGTCTCTCTTGCGGCGTCTTCGACTGTCAGCTGTCTCTTTTTTAACATCTTCTTCGATCTTGGTCTCCTCTTTTTTCAGTTCATTCTCGTCTTTTTTCAACTCTTCTTCTTGAGCCTCGATTTTTGGTATTTCTTGGTTCATCTTTTTCAAACCTGGATACTTTTTCTCTGCAGTGTCCTCAGCAACACGGTCCCAGAAAGCCAAATTGATACAAGCCTCCCCTGGGAAAAATAGTTGGAGGAGGTTAGACGTAAAACAACCGAAACCCAGACAACAAGAATTCCTACATATGGAACATGTTCAGTTTGCTAATTTATCAAATAATAAATACCAACAATTTGCATTATAATGAAGGATGCAATAAAAATAGCAACTTGCTAGATTTGCTCCCATGACCTTCCATTAATTTACAAATTCTTATAGTAGGAACTATCAATGAAAAATAAATAGTTAAGAAGCGACTCCCTTCCCCTAAAATACACTGCGGTAAGGCAAAGTTTTATTCTACCAAGAATTACATTCCTGCTACTTCTGGTGACTTAGGTTTTCATTCTTGATTTCCAGTGATGTCTTTGATGTCGCGGAGTAACTTTTGAAACCAATGGAGCCCGACATCAAAATAGCCCATGAGTGGCAATTTTTTTTAAAAAGAAGCTTAAGGACCTTTTTGAAAAATCTTGATAATGTATCAGGACGAAAATCATACACCAAAACTACAGTTGGTCAGTTTTATTTTTTTCTTTTCAAATCTAGAGATTCTTTTTTTCTTAAAAGAGTTTATATTTTAATTAAGATACGTGTTTAGCAGGACAAACTGTAAAGCAGCCTTTTTATTACTAAATGAAACTGAATATATTTTCCTGGATAAGTTTTCAAAAGAATGAAACAAAATAGAAATGGATCAAATGTGGGATAGTTCTCTGCTTCTTTATATGGAATGATTTTTGCCAGCACATTTGGGCCAAAACAAGTGGAAAACAAGAGTCAAAAGATGAAATAGACTGTTTTCATGATAGAAGCATATGTGGACCAAGTTATTATTAAAATAATATGGGTAAGCTGTCATTCTAAGACTCTGATTGGCAGAAAAGTGTTATAAAGGTGGCACCCAACATGGCTTTAAGTTTAAGTAAATGCAGAAGAATACTTATACCTTCATAGTCAATTTCGAAGCCAAGAATCATGCATTTGAGCGTTATACCAGCACATGCATTAAAATCGTTATCAAGACTGGCCGAAATCTTCAGTTCATCTAACTTGAAAAGATTTTCCCCCATCCAATTGATACCTGCATTAAGTATCTGAGCACCTACTGCAACAATTTGTCGAATATTTTCCAAAAATTTTTGGGCAAATGCGACAAGACCTTCTGCCAATGAAACAAATCCTTGGCCAACTTTGATAAGTCCTTTTCCAATTTCACTGAGTCCCATCATTATCTGAAAAACAATGCATACTTTATCATAAAAATAATGCTTGTATAAAAATAAGCAATTTCTTCTACAACCTGTACTCACACTATCCTTATATTGAGATTTTGCTTGAAATTTGGGCCATAATCAAGACGAGCTAAGCCTTTTATGTCATTTTGTTGGACTATCTTGAATATCTGTAAATTTCCAATATTTCTAGTTTGGCTGAAAAAGTGATGCTTAATTTTCGGAACTAAAATAACGGAAAACGGTTATGTATATAGGTTTGTGAAAAAAGGGATCTATTTTTTGCAATTCTACTTTTGAAATTAATTATAAAAAAAATTATGGAGGAAAGGGAAATAGTTGGCTTAGTTTGCAGTGATCTCTTAAACTATATCACACTGATTCTGGGTCGCAGAATGATTAGACGCTTTCTCATTAACGTTTTGTGGAATAGATGTCTTTGCAAAAAAATATCGACCTTAATGTTAAATCCTTGCTTGGTGTTCTGAAGCTGTTGATTACACTTAACTTCTTACATTTGCTTCACATAACACGTACTTAATTACACCTGCTTCGCATAACTAATAATTTACTATGATGTATTAAAGCCACTGTTCTGTGCTACTTGTGCTTTTTGATACTGTTTTGAAATTGAAATGCTGACGTCACTACTACAGCAAAAGCCTGATATCTCAACTGCCTAATAATTATTCTATTCTTTCTCTACATATTTAATTACTAAGGCCACATTGATAACTCGAAATTCTAGTAGTAAGAAAAAGCATTTGGTGGTATTACAGGGCAGCATTTGCCGACGAAGACATTATGAAGAAAAATTTAGGTATTATTTCACCTATAATAGTAATTTTACTTCTAAATTAAGGATTTCAAGGCCAATTGAAGATTTATCGACCAACTTATGACGAATAAGGGGGGGGGGTCACACCCCAGACACCCTCGCTAGCTACGCCCCTGTATCTATAGTTTCAGAATCTTCGTACAAATAGTTCTTCAGTATAACGCTATATGAGCTTTTCACACAATCAAGAAATTAAAGCGATACCTTGATACCAGTCTGTTCAGCCCAAGCAACAAATTTGTTTCCAAATTTCCTGATTTCACAGCCAGCAATGCAGATGACATTAGCCACCTTCCATTTACAGGGATTCCACTTCGGACAACCAACCCACCAATGAAATATTTTGAAACATTCAGGTTCCCAGTCCAAGAATGGAACACAGACTTATAAAAAGAGGATTTGTGTTATAAGCTTGTTTCAAGATTTTTGCAAAGATTGCATGCCAAGAAATGTTTAAAACAACTTAATCTTCTGTTTTATGACATCCTTATTGAATACGATAAAGGTCATTTTTATAAAAAGTTCGCTAATCAATCCAGATCAAAATTTCCAACTTGAATAAAAGGTTGATTTACTTTTGTAATGTGGTATAATATAGCCAATGTTCGAGAACCGAAACTTTTTTGTTTCACAATTTTCGAGGGTAAGCTAAATTTTTTGGATTAATGAAACTACAGTTTATCAAAGATTGGCCTGGACAGGGATAGTTGTGAGGAAGATAAGGTGATGTTGACTGTATTAACAAACACCCGATGTAAGAAGATATACCTTCGCCACATTCAGCTTTACAATCCGTTGCAAACTTCTTCTTTTCTTCCTCGATTTCGTCAGACCTCCTTTTAAGTCTTGCTTTATAATCGTCAATTGACCTCCTCCAACCATCCATTTTACTTTGAGCGTGAGACAAAGAGTCTTGGGCTTGTTGGACCCTTTCTTGGGCGTACCTCAGTTTTTGATCAGCATAATCCGCAGCTTTTTTTATATATGCCTTGCATGTTTGAGCAAACTCTTTTAAATGAAGATCGATCTTCACCTGTAGCTCGAACTAAAAAGAAGAAAACAATTGAAATGATTAAACTCAAATTTGAGAGGATATCCAATGTTATAGGATATCAAACATTTAAGGACAAATTGTAAGGAAATTTCTGGCTCTTCGTAGCCTTGGATAATAACAATAATACTATTGTACCATTTAATAAACCTATAGTTAAATCAATATTATGAGTTTATAAGTAATTCTCATAGATAAACTTCTCCAACGATGAACTACTTTGAAGAGTAAATCTTCTAAATACAGTAAAACGAAATTAATTGACCAAATATAAGAAACACATTCTTACTCTTACTCAAAGATTTAGTCCCCTTTTTTATACAGCCAGTGACTTTCGTTTATATCATCGTAGCAGAAACATTCACACTCAAAATTCAGATGTGGTCAGAGGGTACGATATATATTCTTGCTGCTTAGAAAAAATAATTACACGAAATGCCAAAAATTTCGGACAGTAGGAGCGTCCGAGATTTTGCACTATAGAGAAACCAAATCAAAATTTTCACTACTTGATGATAAAATGTCTGGCTCAAAATTATTTAAGCATATAAAAGGAACGTGTTGTAAAAACTGGCTGCAACGTTAAATCTTTCAATTTAATTCATTAAGCATTAAAAACAGTCTCCATCATCCTTTATAATAAATATATATCGTATTCTGTCATACATATATCGTTATCTTCGCTTTGTTTATCACTTTTTTATCAGGCACAACGGAGCGGGGGGCTGGGGGGCTTTAGCTCCCCACTTCTTGCCACAATTGCGAAAAATTCGCCAATGAATCACCAGTCAACTCTTTTTCTATTCTGTTTTAGCCCTCCCCCACTTTGTTTAGACCAGCCACTTTTCTCAATGCTCCGTGGGGCGTCCGTAATAGAGGCGGTTGCTTTTCTATTTCGCCCAATATTTACTTTACTGAAGGTTGCAAGGTGGGCAAGATACCTTCTCATCTGCTACGATTAACTTTGCGGCAATCGTAAGATGATTTAGACAGCTTTAGAAATAGGAGGCATAGTTCTCGTTGAGAGAATGGCAATTTTTTTAATGAAGACTCCTTCGAACGCTTGTGACTTTTGCTGTTGTATCAAGGAAGTATAGATTTAAGTGCAATTTGGTCCTCATAAGGTGCAATTTGCTGTGTTTTTAATACTTTTTTAACTTCGGAAAATTCGTTTATAAACTTCTGAAATTTTCCGTCAGAAAAGATATTGCCGAAATTTACTCATATTTTAGGCATTTGATGTTCCCTTTTCTTTTAAAATAAAAAATTTCACGACATTTAACATGAAGTACTGATAGGTGAGAAACATTGTTCCAAAATTTAGTCACGTTTTGCCACCCTTGCTAAACTTCGCTCAACTTCACTAAACAAATGTTGAGTGAAATGTTTAGTGAAATGTTTAGTCGTTTTGCCAGTGCTTTAGCACCATCCTCTGACTATGAGCGCAGTACACTTCAGATCCAATATAGTAACTAACAAACTAGATTATGTCAATCATCAATACTTACTGTCAATCATCAATACTTACTGTCAATCATCAATACTTACTGTCAATCATAAATACTTACTGTCAATCATCAATACTTATTGTCAATCATCAATACTTACTGTCAATCATCAATACTTACTGTCAATCACCAATACAGAGGAAAAACGAACTTACTTTGAAGTTCAAAGCCGCTAAATTGCCCCAGGCAGCTTCCAAAAGTAGTTTTCCTTGAAGCACACCCCAGAAATTTCCTTCCAACTGGACCTTGAAGGCCGTGTCTGATATATCAATATCGGCCATGCTTTGTATTCCAAATAAAGATATATATCCTCTGATCAGAACAGTCAGTGAGGAAGGTGTTATGTTGATGAGCGCCTTCGGACCATTCTTGGTGTCGTCTCTGCTTCTTCGTAAAACAATAAGTCCTCCAGCCCAATCGATTGGTGACATTTCTATGTCAACAAATAGTCTTTCTGGGGGGTTGACAGCTATCTCCGCAGAAAGTTTGAGTCCAAGGAAATTTATAGTACCTTTCAGGTATAGTCCAGGCTGAATAACGATATCCAAGGCTTCAATTTCTTTCCCTTTGAGATAAGATCAATGTTTTTTAGGTACTGTATCTGGAGCATGGGACAAGGAGCGAGGGGCATGGGAAAAGGGACAATGAGACAGATCGCCCAGGGCCCTGTGCTAAAAGAGGCCGTTGCAGAGCGCAATGAAGTCTTCCGTTTTGTTTTAAATAAATAAACTAATATTTTGATGTTTTTTAAAGTGGATAGTCAAATTCAAATGAAAACAGGGTTTATCGAGTTGTCTGAAGCATCCTGGGGTTTAACTTAAGTTGCTACAAGAGGTTAATGACGTCATCAAGTGAGCCATTCATCCCAGATAGTTCAATTAATTTCACTTTGGCCAACAGCACTATTGACCTGTTTTGGTTTGGTTTAGAGAGGGGGAAGGGATATTTGAAAAGCATCCTTACAGCCAGCTGCAGAAACATAGTTATTGATTGTCTTGTTACTCGCATGTCCTTAGGAAGCAAGGATTTTGCAGATCTTAAGGCCGGTTTCCACTTGATTCGCTCTGGTCGCGCGACTTAGCGAAATCGAATCAATAAATCAGCGAATCGGCGAACGCGAGCAGTCGCCCAGTAGTTCAAATGAGTTGAACTACTAAGCGAATGGTCGCGCATTCGCAGCGAATGAGGAAGTTTAATTTGCGCATGCCCCAATGTGCATTCGCTCAGTCGCGCGACCAGCGCGAATAAAGTGGAAACCCGTCTTTAAAAAGCATCCAAGACTTTAAAATAACTATTGCAACTCAACAAAGAACTTTGTTTATACATTGTAAGTATTAGACCTCTACGTATCTCAAGAGCCTGTGTTTAAAGGTATTAAACTTCTACTTAAACTACAAACTACTCTAACTTTTGAAAAAGTTGCTCCTTGCATTCCAAGTAAATAGATCATAAATCTACCCTGCAAAGGGACAGGTGGACTCTCGAGCATCTATAGGACAGGTCAAAATAGCGAGTGCAAATAGTATCCATCATAAACATGCAGTTAATTGGTCAGAAAATCCTTACTCCTTGTAAATAGAAATACTCAGAGAGACAAATGTGTCTCTCATCTTAATAGCAAAGAGGAAAAGATAGTAGAAGCAATTACAAAAGTGAAATAAAAGTTTATCACTATCTTATCACTATTTAGTGCGTTCCAACTGTTTTAAGCAGAAAAATGCAAGGAGCTCCAAAAAAGAATGGTAAAATCAGCCTTACCTCTCGAACTGTAGGCGACAGTCAACCCATCTGGAAATCCGCTCTCAGCGACGAATTTTGGCATTGTTGGTGACCCAAGCTCAAAAGCTTTCAAAAAGCTTTCCAATGTAAAGGAACTAAGAGATGCATAGATGTAGTTATCAGTTGGTCTGTTTGGATCGATACCGAAATATGCAGAAACTTTGATAGCATGGTCATTCGTCCCATCCCTTATGTTTCCGATCCAAACTTCTCCTCCAAATTCTAAATGCAAAGCAAATGAAAGGCAAGTGAAAGAAAATTATAAAAGAGATACTTTGATTTAACTTTGAACTTCACACTAAAGACATAAGGTTGAGTAATCGCACACAAATCAGTCAATACAGCACTTTCATCTGTAACCAGACTGAAAAAGGGACACATGCTTTTATATGTGCTCCTTCTTTTGAGTAATGCTAAATAACGAACAGGGAACAGCAGGTTTAGTGACACTCTCATTAGTACGAGTAAAAATTCTATGACCATAGCTAAAAAACTATCTAGTCATAGCTACATTGGGAATCAACAGGATTAATTTCTTGAAAAATTTAGGTTTTAATCTAATAAAGATACAAGCCTGACTGTGGCAAACTTTGACCGTTTAAAGCAGACTTGAGGTCTTGCATTGTTTAACAGTTTTTTGGTTTGAAAAATTTATCAATTACTTTAGGTTAAGATTAAAGAGCCTTCTATTGGTCTCCTTTTAAGATGCTAAAAAGAAACATCAAACATCATTATGCACTAGACTTGTTTTTCCTTTAACGAATTCTCTCTTACGTCATCAGCCCCAGACCCCTTCAGACTTGGTAGGGAACCTAGGATATCAATCCAAATGGTATTGCAGGCGAGGTCATTAAACATTCCTATGCTGCTTTGGGTCTTAATGCACCTGAAATAAAAATACTTCAAGGTGTTCCAAAAAGTTTAAAATAGATGCCATATACATACCAAAGGATGGTAATGGAACACCAACTGAAATTCCAATCGCAAGATGAAGATTTCCAAACGCAAGATACTGAAAGTCGAAAGGCTTTCTCCATATGTCAATCATGTTAAACTCGAGGTTCAGTTTTCCTGTAAGACTTACTTCAATTGCTCCTGAAAAAGAACGATAATCTGCTTGAAGCATGTAGTTTTATAAACATACAGCAAGAATGTATTTTTCTTGGGATTGAAAATGATTTTCTACAATGGCAAAAGCATAGGCAGCCTTTCCACTAGCCCGGGTTAAAAGTTATCCGTTTTTAAAGTGAGTCAATGGAAACGGCATTTTCTTCGACCCGTTTTCAATCCGTTTTTGATCGTTCCCATTATGCCGGGTTAAAATGTATTCAGGGTGAAAAGTTGTAAGAGAAATCAGTATTTGCATCAATAATCCTTCAACTTCCATCGTTATAGGCCAATGGAAGCAACATCGACGTCGAGGATTTTGTTTTTTTATTTTTGGCGCCATCTCAGTTCCTAAACGTTGCTGTTGTTGCCAGTGGGTCAGAAGTTATCCGGGTTAAAACTGACCCACTCTGAGACCCGTTCTCAAACTTATCCGTTTTTCAAGTGCCTTAGTGGGAACACGACGCAGAAACGGATAACTTTTAACCCGTTTTTGTTTTAACCCTGGCTAGTGGAAAGGCTGCCATAGACATTTGAAAATGCAGGATCTTCGGGGGACCTTGGGACCAGACAGATCAGATTGGTATTTGGTCGGAATCTATCAAAATACAAGAAAACCATGAAATTAACAGCTTCCAATTCATTTGAAATCTATTGTAAGTACGAATAGGTTTTATACGCATAGAGAGATCTACGGCTCTAGTTATCTCTAGATGAGAGTTAAATCAGAGCAAAATAATTAAGATTTTTGTAGATTGGTCTTCGAACATGAGCTTCAGACATATCGCTAAATCCAGCATCTTCGATAACTGTCAGTCCTTAAAATATTAGTTTTGACCAAGAAGTGTTAGTAAACTAATTTTAAAATGTTAATAGATCAGTGTGCTAGTAGCGTAAGAAACGGGGACGGGTTCAAATGGAAATCTGGCGAGTAATAAATCGGTCGTTGACTTCCGAGTCAAATTTATTTTGAGGCGACAAAAGAAGAACCTTCGCGCAAAATAAGTACGAGGCAGATTGATTCTCAGACAAAGAAGATCGAGGCTACAGAAGTAATGTTTAAAACAATGTGGAGATTATGAAAAAAGAAGAAAGCATATGAATGCTAGGGTAAGGTAAGAAAGAGGCTAAAGAACTCACTCTCAGAATTTGAGCAAGGTTAGCAGAATACCTAAAAACAATAGAGATCTCGCTGGCTTACCTGTAAACTGGAGCTGACTTGTTCCTAAGATATCTGGATCGGCCCAGTACATTCCACATTCTAACTTGACAGAGGAATCTAAACCACTGAAGGAGATTTCCAACGAAATTGATTGCATATTCAGTTTTCCTTCAATGAGCGGTATAGTTCCTGCAAAACTAGCCTTAAAGTCAAAACCACCGTCGTGGATTCTACCAGCTATTTCAATGGTTGCATCACGTCCGACTTTCTCTCCAAGCCACATACATAAAGCGTCGCCTTTGCAGCCTGTGTCTTGTGGTATGTTGAAAATACCAACAAATGTTACACCTAAAATGCAGAACCACCATGTTTAAAAATAACGCAGAACCTAAAAAGCAGAACCACCATGTTAGAAATATCAACAGAAATATTGTGTGAACCCTTACTATTTCTATGACGAAAGACGAGATGCGTTTCAAATACTTTGGAAATAATTTGCATGTATTGGAAAAATTTCTTCATGTACAAAGGTCTATTGTAGGATTTAAAAATTTAACAGGCAGGAAAAGTGGCAAATATGGGCGCATATAAAATTAAAGGGAAAAAACTGCAATTCTCTTGTTACACCCAAACAAACTTTGTCGTGATTGCTAAATTGCTATTGCTAAGTTTCATCAATGTTTTTAAGTTTTCTCCAAGTTTAATTTGTAATACCTACAAAATATGAGAAATACTAAAGACAATTTTCAACCTATCATTTATTTTTCTTTTCATAGGCCTTTCCCGTGTCTTAATGCTTTAAGCACGATAAAGAATAAGAAATATTTTGTTCACGGTTTGAGAAAAATCTCATGTTAAAGCAATCATTTCTAAGGGCCGTCTCCTGCGTAAAGGCAGACAATGCGTTTCAAATGGCAATTCACCTTGGTTAATTTCTTGAGAGCTTAGGAAAGGTAATCTGAAACCCTCCTCTGTTTTCTCTTCATCGTCATCGTCACCGCCACCCTCTTCATCTTCCTCTTGATCCCCTTGGCCTGTGCTTCCGGTAGTTCCGGTGCTTCCGGTGCTTCCGGTGGTTCCGGTGCTTCCGGTGGTTCCGGTGCTTCCGGTGCTTCCGGTGCTTCCAGTGCTTCCGGTGCTTCCAGTTCGTCCTGTATCTGATCCTCCTCTGGTTCGAGTTCTGCGATTGCCCTCACGATTTTGCTGTTTCGCCGCTCTTCTAGAGCGTTTCAGGAGTGTCTGCAAAATGAATTAATAACAAGTCAGAGAAACGCGTATATGAACAAATCACTGATGATGTCAAAGTTAAAAGTCTTGGAAAGCTTCCACTTTACGAAGCAGCAAGCCTTACAACATACGCAGTAGGGGAATGGGTCTATAGATAGGGGGCTCAGGGAGGCTGACCACCTTCTTGCGAATACCGAGTAGAAACCCATTTATATTCTAGCTTTGATTTCTAGAGAAGATTGGGAAATTATGATGATAACATGGGCTCCGACGCAGGTTGGAAAGTGAGGGGGCCAAGAGCAAGTGTAACAATCATAACAAAAAATTTTTAAAAAAAGCTCTATTGTTTTGCAAAAAAGTGAGGGGGCTATGGCCCCCCCAGTTCCCCCTTCGTCGGAGGCCCTGGATAAGATTGTGGAATTATTACAGTATTGTAAGATTGTAGCGTAAGTACATTTCAAGATGAATACTATTAATTGCTAAACCCGGCTTTTTAACAAGAAACAAGAGACACTTTAAGCAACAAAAATAAGAAATCTATTGCTTGATAACACTTGCTTGATAGAAATTCTGAAAGAAAGGTCGGCTAGATTTGGCATTGAAAGTCATATCCTGTTTGAAGTAATCTAAAGTCATTGAAATGGAGGTGGGGGTTGCAGGTATTGGAACAGATTTCATATTTAACTCACTCCAATGCAAATAAAACAATTTAACCACTTATTTATAGTAAAGCAAGTGCTACGTTCAATAGAGTTTTTTTTTTTTATATTCTCATAAAATTTTACAAAACAGACAACTACAAGACGATACCACAGGGAGCATGGAAATACATAGCAACCCTGTGGCCATTACATTAAACATATTTGATTCAAATTAAGGTTGCATTAAATGTTGCAAATTACATGTTACAGATTACTAATAATTAAAGACATTTACAATTTGGATGTTAAAACAAAAACAAGGACAAACTACATTGACGAAACAAAACAAGAACAATGAAAGACAAATTACATAGGAGAGAAGATTTATAAAACTACTTAATGAAACCTTTCATATGAAATCAATAGAGTTCTCAAGTGTGACGTCACCAAAAAAACTATTTTTAGAATTTTCGAATTTTGACCACATAACATGAAAGAGCACCATAAAATAACCCAAATATATGCAAAATCAGTTAAATTTGTCAAAAATCCGGTGAGCTATGGCCAACAGAAGAATTGAAGTTTGCTAACAGATTACTGTTATTTTTGCTCAGTTCATAAAGTTATGAACTGAGACCAAACTACAGAGGTCAAATGGGGCCAGAGCTTTTGCTCATCTGGTCATTTCTCAACCATTTCATAATACCTTTATTTGATTTTGCAGATTTAGAGGTATTTTATGATGCTCTTTCAGGTTATGGGAAAAAATTCCAGAAATTTTAAAAATAGATTTTTGTGACGTCATCACTTGATAACTCTATTGTAGAATTCATTTGCACCACTCCGTATAGATCTGCGTATAATCGAAAACGAAATGAAAACTATGAGAAATAGGTATTTGGACTTTACCTGGGAGTAGTAGTTGAAGCGCCTTATAGGCTTAAGAGGCATGCCTGTGTCAACATGTCTACGCTCACGATGTTTCACGGCCTTTCCTTTGGCCTTTGCAGCTGCCTTGTGTTTCTTTGAAGAGCCTGAACTTGTAGATCCAATTTCTTTGTCAGCATTGCCAATGTCGTTGCTTGCTTTCTTCCCTTCCGCGGGCTTATCTTCTGGTTCCACTGTAGCATCTGCGTTGCTACATATCAAAACTAGAGGAAAGAACGACGTTAAAGGGGACAAAGAATGGGTAGAGAAATTCAAATGATGCTTTGATTGCTTACACACCTTACTTACATATCAAGCTGACTACTGCTGAATTCTGAAAGAAGAAGAGACACGGAACTCCTTCGCCCTCTAAAAATCTAGGCAGAGTAGAGTGTTTATGACAGCAAGGCACAAAAGAAACAAAAATGTGTAGGAATACTATGCAGCCAACAACAAGAACATCTATCAGAGATACAGTAAACTAAGTTAATAAGTGCATACCTCCAGGCAACAGTTCAAGGTTAATAGAAAATAGAAAATAGTCTTGCGATTGACTTCCTACCAGAGGTGTAGTGATAGGGGACCTAGCCCTCTTGTTCACGCCTGCTTCCTAGAACCGTACTTCATAGACGCTCCAATCAGTCATTCGCGGATCTATTGCATAACTTTTTACGTTCTTGTAGAAACAGTGTTTTCGAAAGTAATTATAGATATAATAAGAGCTTTCAAACGACTATGGTGGTACTAGATTATGTATCAGCTTTGAAAACATTTGAAGCTTCCTAAAACAGCAATACACAGCGTGTACCCTAATGCCACTGTAAGTCTGGGGTATTCGCCCCAATGAGCCTGCTCCTCGAAGAACATAATTGTTCTGATGGACCATGCTAAATCTTGAGGATGAAACAGCACAAATTAGTATAAATATTTAGACTTAAAAACAGCAGAACATACTTGCTACCATCTCTGAAAACCAAGCTGCCTTGAAGAAGCCTTTACCGACAACTCTCTCTATCAATTTATCGAGCCGTATTCCCTCAATAACAAGACCAAGTGCCATTCCAATCTGCGGTTCCCCCCTGCTTCGTTTCCAGATGACCCCTTCGATTGAAGCTCCGTCCCAGCCCCAAAGAATCGGTTTGCCTGATATTCTGTGAAAGAAAATATTTTTCAGCACTGTGGTGTACTATTAGAGCCAGAATGAATTCTGGCGTCGATTCCTTTAAGTTTTCGAACTTCATATTGTCATATAGTGCATATTGCAAAAACAGCATACAAATTTGTAGCCGGACTAATGTTTAGATGGTAAATCCTCATCCGAGGTAAACAATTTTTATATCAAGGAATTTTGTGAAATGTCCCGGACGAGGCCGTTGATTAAAACAATGTATTCTTCCTTGACAATTCAATTCAATTCAATTCAATATTCGTAGAGTACAGCTAGACTCGGCTAGGTCAGTCAAACCACCAACAGATTCATTCTAGGTAAAAGCGTTTCAGAAAAAATTGTTGCTAATATACATAAAGGAAACAAACCACTCGTAAAGGAAAACTTTGTTGCGTAGATGATGTTATACCTTTGATTGAAGCCTTCAACAGATATGTGAAAAATTTTTTTTCTTAATGTTCTACCCTTTTGATTAATTTTCAACGAAGCAGCGAGAGAAGAACGATACACCCATCCAATACCTTGAGGCGGGGATAAAAAAATTGCTTGAGGATCATTTAGGGGTCAGCATCTCCAGCCCCTCAATGGCTCCGGCTTTGAATATTTTGACTCGCACTGGAATATTTGCTTTATCTCTTAAAAGAAATCTTTACATGAATAACAGAAAATATTTAAGGATAAGCAGCAGATCAGGTACACCGAGCCTAAACTCTTTGAAATGAAACACAGGCAATTTATTCTTACAAAGGTACTTTCTTGTAGAATTTCAAGCTGAGAACAAAAAGAGTAGATATGTACATAAATGAGTATCTGAGGCCCGAAGCTTTATATCAAAGTTTTTTATCTAATGTCTACAGAAATTATTCTTGTTTTTTGGACTTCTGAAAGATGTGGATCATAATCCATGATTTTTAGGCTGTAGGTTCGTTCAGTTCTAGGTGTGGAAAGAGTTTCTGGACAGAATCATATCGTTTGAGAAAATCATACCTAAGTCTTGCATCATCTCCAAATGTTTTGACAAGTTTGAAATCAGAAATACCAAAGTTTTCTAATGAGCCAAGAAGCTTCAGAAATCTCAGAAATCCAGTTTCACCGACAAGAGCTTCAATTTCGTTCGCTTTTAAGCTTGCAATATATGCAGCAAGCATGTAATCACTCCCTTGCTTTTCAATGGTTAGCGCAACTGCAATTGTTCCAACAGTTATAGTCGTTGCGGCGTTCAACGTAATTGGTTCGCCTTTTTTCCATTCAACACTCAAGTCCAAATCTGCTATCGAAATTTTGCCACCTAAGAACTCATGCGGGCCATGGACAGTAACGGTTATTTTGGCGTAGTTCTTGCCACCAAAGGTGATTTCTTTGATGTTGATAGGTCCATCTGGTCTTTTGAAAATTTGAACCGGTAATTCTGCAGTGATTTGTGGGTCTAAGCACTTCAGCATTGACTGTAGATCAGACTTAAATTGTTCTGGAAAATCGAAGCCTAGCCCACCTGCTGTTATTGAAATAGTAAGAGGAAGAATGTCTGGGATATCGCCTTCAATCTTAACAGCCGCGTCGCAATTATCCTTCATATTGTCTAAAAAAAATCAAATTCACATGATTGCGTGACATATGCTAATATATTAGGCTACTATTAGGAAATATCTACGTGAAATAAGTGATATTCAGTAATATCTGCAATTGATATATTTGATTATAAGGTGATATCAGCTACATTTTTTGTGTGGTTTCTGTTAAGTGATTGGGTGACATGATTAGGTGACATCTGCTATGTCGTTCAGTTACATCTGCTGAGTTATAAGGTGATATCAGCTACGATATTGGGTGATATATGCTAATTGATTGGGTTGCATGAATAGGTGATATCAGCTACGATATTGGGTGATATATGCTAATTGATTGGGTTGCATGATTAGGTGATATCAGCTACGATATTGGGTGATATATGCTAATTGATTGGGTTGCATGATTAGGTGATATCAGCTACGATATTGGGTGATATATGCTAATTGATTGGGTTGCATGATTAGGTGATATCAGCTACGATATTGGGTGATATATGCTAATTGATTGGGTTGCATGATTAGGTGATATCAGCTACGATATTGGGTGATATATGCTAATTGATTGGGTTGCATGATTAGGTGATATCAGCTACGATATTGGGTGATATATGCTAATTGATTGGGTTGCATGATTAGGTGATATCAGCTACGATATTGGTGATATATGCTAATTGATTGGGTTGCATGATTAGGTGATATCTGCAACATCATTGGGTGATATCTGCTAATTGATTGGGTTGCATGATTAGGTGATATCTGCAACATTATTGGGTGATATCTGCTACGTGATTGTACGATATTTGCTATGCGATTGTGTGAAATCTGCAACCTGTTTGAACGATATCTGCAACATAATAGGGTGATATATGCTACAGTACTAGGCGATTTTTGCTACCTTGTTCTTTGATGTCCTCTAAATGATTGGGTGATATCTGGTGCGTGTTTGGATGATATCTGCAACATGATTGGGTGGTCCTACTTTGTTCATCATGACAGTATTCAGATAGAAGTGTATAAAAAAATTAATTGAATAACAATCTCAAACCTTTCACAGGTATTTTGACTCTAACGTTGACTCCTTTCGGTATCATTTTAGTAGCAGTGGGTGTTATGAAGGCTGAGAGCAAATTATCGATGCTCTCACCAGCCGTCGCTATATCCTCCTTCGACAGCATGATAATACAGTCTCTTTCAATCCTTCCCAGTAGTCCAAAATCACTAATGAAGTCATGTTGATCGATGAGGTTTTCTAAAGCTTCTCCGATGTTGTGCACATCCCGTATATCGATAGCAAGAGCAGCCTTGGTAACCTCGCCAGCGTTTCGTGTTAAAACCAAATAGACGTCTCCGGATTTAAAAGCTCTGGAATGGGAAACGCTAGCTTTTGCAACCATTTGGTATGTTTCATCAGGTTTCAAAATACCATCAATGGATGCCCCAGCAAAAGTTATTCCTTCAAGTTTTGTGCTATCAAAGGCAATGTCGTTGAATTTGAAGAAATCCATCGTGATACCAAACAAACCCATCAGGTCAGCCATTGCGACACTAGCGATGCTCCATTTCATCTTCATCGTCGATTTTTTTAGATCTTTATCAATACGCACGTTCATTGAGTGGGAAGAGATACCGATTACTCCTGAATGGAATGAAGAGGGAATATCTAAAGTCATACCTACTCAAGCAAGTAACTGTGTGAAGTGACAAGTGGTCCTTAATGACTATTTTTAGGTATCAAAATCTATAGCTAAACCTTCATGATAGTACGAATACCTTTGAAACAAACTTGTTGTTCATAATACAGACATTTCCTTTATTGGGGAGGTGTCAGTTATTTGGGAGGCGTCTGTTATTGGGCAGTGTCCTCCATTAGGACGTGTCCGTTATTAGATGGAGTCCGTTATTAGGAGGTGTCAGTTATTTAGGAGGCATCTGTTATTGGATGGTATTCGCTATTGGGAAGTGGCCTCCATTGGGAGGTATTTGCTATTAGAAGTTAATTTTTGTTTTAGGAACATTCGCTTAGATAACGGACATGCATGCTTGAGAACGGGTTCCAGATAGCATCACTCACAAATACTGAAATAATGCTAGTTCCAAATTACAGGGGCATCACTGATTTCCGTTTTTTTGCATAGCAAATGACAAAACACAGCCAATGATATTGAGTTGGTTGAACCAATCAACCAGTCAAACCGTAGTGGATCTAAAGAGCAAATTATCACACTCACCAACTTGTTTTTTGGCAAAGGTGCAGGTTCGAAGACACGAGTGAATAGAGGCCTTGGCCCGAGTATAACCACGCAGGTGTTATAGTAAATAAAACCCTTGAAAAGAGTCTGGCATGTCTGACGAGCAAGCTTACCTTTAGCATGCAGACTCCAGTCCTTAAAGGCTGCAACTGGCTTGTCGGCATGAAAGCCGAGCTCCAACTCTCCGTTGCTGATGAGAATTTCCCTCTCGGTAATTGACCATGTGTCTTTTGCTTTTGCCTTGATCTTGGCAAACTTCTGTTTGTTTATGAAAATTTCTTCAACGTTAAAACTTTCCGGCAAAATAAATTTTTCAGTTGATGTGTGAATATTGACCGAAGGAAATAACTTAGGAAAAACGATATTCAAAGATGGCACAGTACATCCACCAGCTTCCTTGACTGTCAGTTTAGCCCCTTCACTATCCACATTCACTTCAACATTGCAAAACCCTGCAATGGTATAGACTTTCTTTCCAGTCGATTCTGATGTTACTTTTGACCAACTGTCGGGTAAAGCGTTTCTTTTGCTCGCCCCTAGAACAAAAAAACAAATTTGACTTCAGCAGTCGTAGGTACTATTTATAACGTTATCTAAAAATCGTTATAAACGAAGAAAATATTTTTATGCAGTTGAACCTCGTCAAGCAGAACCTCAGAGATGGGTAAACAGATGGCCTGACGTAGCCACGTCCGGAGTACAACTTTAGTTCTGAATTAGATAGGGACATTTAAAGGGATTGAAAATCAGTCCGACTTAGTGATAGTCCGAGTCATCGGCAGAGGCGGCGCCAACTCCCGGAAAATGGGTAGAACTGGCGATCTAGAGGAACAAACGATAGAATTCTTGGGGCCATGCCCTTTTCAAAAGTAGGATATCTGTTTAAACTAACACAATGTAAGGGACCACAAGTCAAGACAAACTAAGACAATGTAAGGGACCACAGGTTTATAGAAAGATCATAGAAAGCTTTTGAAAAAAGGTGGAGAAAAGATTTCCTAATATGAACAAATGATTTTTATTGTCTATCACCTTACACCCCCCCACCCATACTTTCTAAACGGATTTCTACAAATTAAAAAATCGACTTGGCGATCATCCGGGAGGACACATTTTCCTCGTGGCACCGCCTTTGGTCACCCGGGTTGGACTTAAGGGGATTCAACTGCGCGTTAAAAATATTCTGAGGAGCTTGGCCATAAGTGCGTGCAATGCTGTCAAGAGCAAAATACCCTAATCACCAGATGCATATGTGCAAATCACCAGGTAGAAAATGAAAATGATTGTCCCTCTTTAAAACTTATATTTCTTCTTATGCTTATAACTTTCACTTTTTATAAGAGAATCATTCTATTTCTTTTTCATTTTAATTTCAAATATCTATCAGGTTACAAATTCAGTAATAAATAACTGTTGCACAAATTGAATTTGGGAAATAAAGAAAAGCCTAAGTTACAGAAAGTTGTATTTAATGTACAATGCTTAGATGTAATTTTTCAAAATATACTAGTGGGATCAAGAAATCATAACTAAATTCAAATATACTTCTTGGCTAAATTCTCTCTTTGAATATTTACAAATGGTTATGTGAGAAGAAATTGTTTCGTAACAAGAGGATCTTAGATTCATCCCCATTCTGCTATACGCTGGAGAGTTTCAAAAACAGGCAAAAACAGGCAAAAATAGGCAAAAATTAAAAAAACGTCCCATTCTCGCGTGACCTCTACGGTTCTGCCGTACGTTGAGACATTATGCAAGCTAGCATGGTTAAGAAATGGAATCTTATAATACATCTTCCTAACTTTCGTCTATCACGACACTCTTATACACATGCTGGTGTAAAATAACATTAAAAAAATTGGCTTTGCGTATACCAGCATAAAGCAAGGCTTATTGACAGTTTTTTCATATTGACAGGTTCAAACAACTTGCCTTCAAAAAAAGCAGCCAGAAAAGAGCCTGATGAAACAGCAACAGATTTCATTGTTGTCGAATTCGAGAAACTACCACAATTTCAATAACTTCATTGGGTTAAATATTATGTGTTAATAAAAGACGTTTCAAAGAATTAGATAAACTCACCTTCCAAGCCCCGGCGCATGCCATTGGCGTTAGGTTCCAAGAGCCAGAATGGTGTTAGGCCCAGCATGTCGTGAAATCCATCAGACGGTATCAGGCTATCATCTTCAAATGCCAAACATATCGTGAGACACAAAGTTGCGACTAAAATCCGAAGAAGATCCATCTTGCGAATCGATCTGCGAATTGAAATAAAGATATTAATATAAGAAACACTATGTTGAATTCAGTTTCGTATTTCAATGTAAACTCTTGGAACAACCGTTTGAACGAAGCTAAATTCTTCAAGTAAATTTTTTTACTTTGTAACTCTCTATTTCATAGCAAATAATAACAGTTCACTGAATAAAAATTAATAGTTTAATGTAATTTGATAAATCCACAATTCTGGAAAGTATCCCTGGTTTATGAATTTCACTAATTTTGCACTTCGCTTTATCTTTTTAAAGATATATCTTATTTGCTTTGTCAATTCACAAAGAAGAGTTGCCGTCACGATTCTCTCGTCTAATCTTGTGTGAGAGAAAAAAGTATCCCTGATTTATGGATTTCACTAACTTGGCACTTTGCTTTATCTTTTTAAAGATATATCTTATTTGCTTTGTCAATTCACAAAGAAGAGTTGTCGTCACGATTCTCTTGTCTAATCTTGTGTGAGAGAAAACTCAATTAATACATCACTAATATATTTCAAGCTCTTTATAAATCTATAACCAATAATGAACTCAAGGTTACATTCTACGAATTGATAAACATAAAAACTTTTCAGATTCAATATATTTTACGTTATCAGATATAACTTCCTTTGATATGAAACAATTATCGATAACGATAACCAAAACAGAACATAGACAAGAAATATCAAAGAAAAAAGTCTCAAAATGTAACCAGTCTTACCTTCTCTCAAAGAAAACTAAACAACTGATTCATTTGCTCTGCTGAAGAAATAATCGACACAACTATTTAAGTGTCCGTCTCGCAAAACTGACTCCGGTACACTTTCTTATATTGCCTGAGATTTGTGATTCCACGAAGCAAAAACCGGTAGGGTCAACTTAGATACAAATTACAGCTTTGAAATTCTAAACATTCAACAGGGGGTGAACGTAGCTGCAAACCGTTCACACTCTCCTTCATTTAACCACAAAGGCTTAACAATTTGATGTAAAAAAGTATAAATTTGAAGAGTGCAATATTTTATGATGGTGCTGGATATAGTTTTTATTTCAAATTATTTAGTATTTAATTTTAACATGATTCTAATGGTGGTAATATCGATCTTTTATGATCAGAGCTCCCCCCCTGTTAAGTGGCTGGCAACCTGTTACTACCGTCTCAAGAAGCACAAACATTTTGGTGTCTCAGACTCTTATACTTCATTTAAATTATTCTGAAACAGTGCATATTTTCTACGATGCTTATAATCAACGGGTACTACCAGGGACTCCTGACCGTGTTGAAATCAAACCACAGATCATTGGTCAAAACAAAAATCATTTCTTGCAAACATTAAACATTTAATTCAAACAAACATTTGATAAAAATATGTATTTACGCCTGGCTAGCCAAAATTCAGAGCGATAGCAACAATACAAGATAGCATTTAGAAAGTAGAGAGAGGATCTTAATAGATCATATATCTTAATAAAGGAAGGGGGTGGGTTGGTTATATGAATCAAAACGTAACAGGCAAATAACTGCAAAGAAATACTAAGAGCTAGTGTCAACAAGATCCATGAAGTCTTCAGAAAATTGATTGATTAATTCTGCTGATGATTATAATAAATTAACCATATTTAACTGTCCTTTTTTAGGTTCTTAGCGTACATAAGTGAGCAGTTTCTCGAAATCAGCAGATGCATGATCTCTATCTAGCTACTTCAAAACTGTTCATACTAGTTTACATCCAGGTTAAAACAAGCTACCAAACGAGGCCTCATTTGAAAATTTTAGGAACAGCTAGCATGAACTAAAGGTGTCATGAAAGTAAAGCAACACAGATATTCAAAAGCATATAAATTCTGTTGATATAGGAACGACCCTGTTAAATGACATCAGATACATCGTTACACTACACAATTACAAGTAAAGGACAGGTTGTTGTACATCAAAATTTTAACACTTTTCATCAATTGTTCCTTGATCACAAATCAAGTAACGCTGATTTACATTTACAACCAAACTTGTTTATCAGCGTTGTACTTTTCACGGATAGAAATCAAAACACCAGTAAACTTTTGGTAAGCATTGTGATGTCATTACTGAGAAGATCAATACTTCGTTCACCTCCGTTGGGTATGCTGTGATAAAAGGTACTTATTGAGAAGACGGCAAGTGGAGTCTTCTCGTTTGGCAACCCCCGTGCTTGTAGTAGAAAAATGTGCGCAATAATGATTGAGGTTGATGTAATGCATGATCATAACTGAAAGACAGGAGGATGGCTCATGCAACAAATGACCGTCTCCCAAATATGGTTTGTTTGCAGATAAAGTGAGATCAGATAGTCTCGATTTCAAGCCTGGTTTTCGCAGCAACGAAGATTGGGATCAGTGCACATGCATAGAAGGATGGGGGTAAAATCATCGAACCCTGGGATAAGAAACCTTTCAAGGTATGGAAAAAGTTATAGCAGAAAAATGTACCCACTGCAAGACACAACGATGAAACGATTCTCCATCACTGAAAACTTAAAGAAAAAATCTCCAAGGATATGTGAATAAGTTCTGTTAAGAAGTTGAAAGTGGAGGGATACAACGGAAGTCTTCTTCACTGTTGGAAAACGTGTATGAAGCATAAACATCATAAAATTACATTTATAAACAATAAAGCAAGAGCTAAAAATGACATTATTACATGGTGAAAGAATAAACCTATTTTGGATGAGCAATATTGAATCTATTTCAATATAGATGAGATTTGTAAATACTCATGAAATGATTCGAAAGATTTTCGGGAAGACAGGCTGAACAGGAAACCAGTAACCTAGGGTGTTCTTTAAATAATGCTTGAAAACTTCTATTTACACGATTTGAGAATAACTAAAACTGCCGTTATATACATACACATGTACAATATCCGAACAATCAGGTTTAGACAAGTTCGCACTGTACTTTCCATGAGTTGAATCTGTAATGATTAAAACATATAAATAAACTTTAATCTTTACAGAACCTTTTTTAAATCTGACAGCTTTTTGAGTACACAACTTTGGAGATGATTGGAGTACAAACAAGGTAAATTTGCATTATTTTGTCTTGCTTGCCTGGGGAAAAGAACGAAATCTCTATGTTTTGTTTCATATAACGAAAATCTTTGTTGACCATATTCACGAAACTCCATATCTGAAATAATACTATTTTCCTTTGGTTTTACTCTCTGAGTTGTTCCGTAATTTGGGCCATTCACAGAAAATATATTATGAGAATATATTTTTCCTAGAAATGAAGCTTCCATGCCCAAAAGCAATGAATACTTGAAAAGAAGTTTAAGAAATGGATTTACATCTACAGAGTTGAGAAAACACGCGACTATTGGTTGATAATTAGAAGATCAAAAATCATCATTTTAGGAAACCAAGCTCTCTCCCTTTTAATCTGCCTCAAATCTTCCTCTAGTTAAAGTGCATTTAAAAATAATCAAAAGGTGACTTACTTATCAAACAGGGAAACGTGTCTTTTCCGAAACCTCGTTGCCAGTACATTGTTATCACTTTCCAATATACTCCCGATTTTGGTTGTAAAAGAGTGAAGTTTATCAAGATCGAAAATCTGAAAAGTCCTGTCAAGGAAAATAAAGAAATCCTTAAAGAAAATCATGGAAATTTTTATTCATGTTTTATCTATTGAGAATTTTTTTTGATAAGAACACAGTCCTAATGCAATGTTAGTATGAAGTAGGTAAAAGGCACACGAGAATATAAATCTAGTGAATACCTCCCTTGTTAAATGTAACTGAAAGTGAAATTAATTCAAAACTACACTACAATAGACGTCAATTTTCAAAATTCCGTCAATTCTTCGAGCCTCTTCACTGTACTTAATAAGATATCAGTGTGTAAATATTACACTTTTTGGAAGTTGGGAGCTGGCTGACAAAAGAAACTTCTTAATCATGCCATTACTTAACCATTCAAGAAATTATCAGAATCTTTTAAAAGCAAGTCCATTCACCCTGGCTGCTAATCGTTAGTGGGTGACTCATTAGAAACTTAAGTATTTGAGTCCAATGATGATCTCTTCTCAACAATGATTGGTAATTAAGAGCTGAAAATAAGTTGAGGCCAATATCTAAGAAACCAGAAAAGGAAGGTGGCTGAAAAGATTAGCTAACTTTCAATAGAAACAAACACAATAATATCAATATAAGTAATAAAATGCTAAATTTCATCTTAAAAGTAGTCTGTCCCCTATTGTGCTCAACTTAACTTTAACGGGAGTGAAATTCACGCATCGTTGAGCTTGATCGATAATTAAACGATTTAAACCAATCAGAGACAATTTTGATTCCAGAGCTTTCGAACCAAATGGCTGTGTTCCCGTTGTAGTGAAGCTGTGGCTAGAAAAATTTGGTTCCTTGTTTGGTTTCTACTACACTACAGATATGTCAACAGGGAAAAGAAATGCTTCTTTTATCATCATTCAATTCCAGTAATTAAATCTTCTTGCCATTTCCGATAGCCTTTTGCTCGCAGTTTCAAAAGTCGTCCACTACCGCAGCTAGGCCAGCCAAAGCGAGCAGTGTAACCGTTAAGGCGGGATAAGCTATTGTTCATATTAGCCAATCATTGAGGGGACAGACTGCCTTTAATCTTTCAACGATAAATTTTTTATCTTCCAACATACCCCCCCCCCTTCTACAAAACTAGAAAAAGGAATTCACGAAGAAAACTGAAATAATAAGATTTACCTTTCATTCACAGTTATAGGGCAGAGTATGGAAGAGACGTCATCATGCCATAAGTCGTCTTCAGTGATGGACGTACTTTTTTCGTCAGTTGGCGGGCCAAACGCAACCAAGTTGACATATCTGAGAATTGTACAGTTTAAACCAGGGATATTTAAGCGATATTAAATTCCAGGTCATATTTAAGCGCATTTAAAAATGAGATCAACCGGGCCAACGTGAATGCAAGAACACGAAATTTGGACAGCATCGATATGCAGGATAAAGCTCCAACAAGTATTCCCTCGTTAAAAAGGACCCTCATTAAGAATATTCGCGTCTTGAAATATCTAAAAGACTTACGGCAGCAGCACCTTCCAGTAAAAACTCACGTGACATAGGCGCCTCAACAATAGCAAGAAATTGCAGAAATTGAAAAGAAAAAAGTAGATGCCAACGTTTAAAAAAACCGGGAAGATCTGAGTAAAGATTATGTAATGGAAAACCTTTTTAGCTTTTCAAAAGGATGTCTCCGTTCATGAGACAACTCTTTAAGCAAAAAGAAACATAAATAATTTTACATCTGAGTCTTACAAATAGCAAATAATTTTAGCTTTCAACTTATGCAATTTTCTATTTTGCTTTTAAATATTAGAGATTTACAATTTATTGAACGTAGATAAGATCTTTATATGCCCCAAAACGTCTTTCAGACCTGAATCCCTATTTCCTTTTTGAAGGTTTTTTGAAGGGGAAGAGGATGAAGAATTCTTCGAAAATTATTCAACTCACTTTGTAACTTCATTTTTTGAGTATCCATTAACGACCAGCATGTTGATTAGAACGTAAATCATTAATTCAGAGAGCTTGCTTGTTGTCCTTATGATAGCTAGGAAAAGAATACAGCATAGTTTACATGAAGCATTAAAAACAAAAATATTCAAACTAATTAAAACTTTATTTAAAATGACAGCACAGGGCATTTTCTGAAATTAAGACATACTTTCAAGAGAGAAGGCCCTTTCTAAAGGCACCTACTACAAGTTCTGAATTTAGATATATGAGGCAGTCGTTACGATAAATGAAATGCTAAAATTTTGTTAGAAATTCTATTCCAAATGGAAAATTGAAGCTGGATCTCAACATTAACGATTTTAATGAGCCAGACATAAGAATTTCATTGCTGTAAGTTGTTGTGAACTTCTAATCTGCAAATATATATGTAAGCTAAATGATTCAAAATTGTTTACGAAATTCCCTTAAAAACAAATCTTCAAGCTGATTTTTTACGATTTAAAAATTTTTATTACATTTTTATTAAAATATTTCAGTGAAGATTAAACACTAAAAGTTCAAGTGAATTCTGATCTTCTTACAGAGTTCATTTAAAAAGTTTTGGACGGCTAGAGTGTTGAATACGATTTGAATAAGTATGACTAAAAATCTGTTTGCATCTTCATCCAAAATGATATTTTAATCGCACTAAAGATAAGTTAAAGATCTGAAATAGAGCTAACCGTCGTCCTTACTCCCTGGACAAATGACCTCACACAATGAAGAATTTTCCAAAGCCTGTGATATCTAAAATGTTTAAAAAACATAAAAATCATAGCACTTCTTGAGTATTTACAGTTGAAACTGGAAAACGTGATTCAAATAAGAGAAGTTCAATTCCCTATCTTTTGCCTAACATACACTTTTTGATCTTGTCTAACAGAATTGTCACAACCAAAGATTATTGAATATATCATCCACAATTTTTTCATCGTGTTTTTTCAGACCTTTATTCTGACGTTTTATGCTCTGAGGAGTGTCAGACCAAAAAGCTTTTAGCCAATATGTTGTAAAATGTTTGCTTTTTTCAAAGCCAATTTCAAGTTCTGTACCGCCAAAAAACTGTTCAAAGGTTATTATAAAAACTTTCAAGCTTTGTTTTCATACGTATTTTTAAGTTTCATAATTACATTTTTTTAAATCTAAAATATATCAATAAATTTTCCTAAAATTGAAAATAATGAACAAATTCAACAACGAGGCTAAAGGCAACCTCGCTAAAGAACGGTATCTCAAAAAATCGTACGCTGTTAAGCAGGGGGTCGAACTTGATTGTACAGGGGGTCAAATTACAAAACACACGTTAGATCGCGGGCCGAACAGGATAAGCATTTACTTGAACAGACACTATAAAAACAATATTTAAAATTATCTCGAGGGCCAGATATAATTACACGCCGGGCCGGATGTGGCCCGCGGGCTTTTAGTTTGCTGCTGTGAAGAATCAAAGGCCCATGGGATGTCCCCTTACTCCCAGTTTGAGGTTGGCCAGTATCTCTCGCTTACTAATAGAGAAATGCACACGAACAAAGAGAATGTGACATGATATTCTTTATGCTGGCTGAAAATTTGCAGGGAAACTTTGCATTCGCATGTTCAGTTAATGTACTTGCAAAACTAACCTGATAGCCTACACTCGTTTTTCCATGAACCTCCCCTTCACTACGAGACTGTACGCTTTTATGAAACCCTTCCCTATCCATTTGGAAGGTGCTTCATTAAAGACTCATTGCTAACAATGGGCCTTTGCGAGCGTGGCGACGGTCCAAACAATGGCAGTAATTGATTTTAGACAGTCTAAAAATGCATTATGGGATGCTTACGTAGCGCAATGGCTCATTGTTAGCAGTGAGTCTTTAAAGATCTCCCACGTACACTTGGATTAGAATTTTGTTTTCCTTTAAACGGCAGTGTGACTTCAAATGGGATGGCTATAAATGGAATAAAAACATACGCTTTGCTTGTAGTTCCAAGGGGATTTTTTGGTCACTTCTTTGCCTCCAAATATCTACAAGCATCAAGGAAAATTCTACTGGATGGAGGTAACTTATTCAGGCAGTGATCAACCTAGAACGTGCAATGAAGTCTAGTGTAATGTGCTGGTGAATCTGAAACAAAAATTTACATATGATCTGAACTGTAGTTTTCTGGTATCACTCTTCGTATTTTGATGTATGTTATTAGGAATTAGAGATGAAATGTGACTACTTCTTTAAGCAAGTCAAACACAATTGCTCGATTCTTTCTGTAAATAGTCGAATAGTGCTGATACATCAAAACATACTTCAAGACAAATGTGTATCACACCAAGATTTCAAACGTTTTTATATTTTCAAACAAACTTGTTTTTTAATTTTATCTAAAAATCCCAAATACTCAATGTTATCTAAAAATTTTATCGAAATATATAAATAAGAAAGCTTGCTTCAGACAGATTGATTTACAATTAAGCAATTTACAACAAAAGGATACAAACTCGGGTTTAATTATATTACTATTCTCCAAAAGTTTGCAAAGCTTTATTCGTGGAATTCCTGCAAATACGATAAAGCAATTGATAAAAAACGCATTCTGGAAGATCGATCCCAGATTTAGCAGCAACTAAGAATAAGAAAAGGGCACGAGGAAATGATATGTTGTGGGGTACCAAAATTTACCCACAAATGGCAAATTGGAAAATCCTCCTCTAGGTTGAGAAGTATCTCTCTCAAAGATAGAAAATGTCCAACAAAGAAATTCTGTTGAGAAGCATCAAACTAAAAATCTAAACCGAGAAAAGCTCGATTTTGTGTTATTGACAACAGGTTTGTGTAGATGTGTATGGTGACCACAAAGAGGTCCCAAACTGGGATGTCTTGAGTCACCGGTCACCATTTAGCCCAGCACTTAGCTGATACAGAGAATGTTTGATTTGGTATCAGGAAGCAACGATTTTCGAGCACTGCTTGTCCCTTCCTCTCGATGTGGTCATATCTCGTGGACCCTTTCAAGCATGTTTTTGACTTCGGAATGCAGGTTTTGGGCTCAAATTTACGCTTTTTGTGGCTTTCATCTCTTTATTATAGCACCCAGTCAAGAGAAGCTCTTCTATCAATGTAGGAATGAGACTGGAGAAATGTGATTGGCACGAATCCACTTCAGTCACAAGAGATCATTGATGTGACTGTCACAATGTAAACATTATGCGAGGCTTGCAATAAAATAAATTGCTACACACCTGCGACAAATGTGTATAAGAGACATCGAATACTGCCTTTAATATCCTGCAAAATTTAAATAAAGAAAGCAACATGAGACCTTAAAATTCAAAGTTCAAATGAAACTTCAGAGCTGATTGAGAACCAGAAGAATCAGGGACAACCTGCTTGGTAGGCTATTGACTAAAATATCAGTATAGACATGGAAATATTGTCAATATTGTTAAAATGTACAATAAAAAGGCAGATAGTCAGTTGCAACATCGCGCTAGCACTCATTCTGAAATGCTGCTTTCTGTGCAGTCCTTTCCTTGCCCCCACCCTCAATGTGTTTGTGTGCTGATGTTTTTCTTTCATAAAGTATGATTAACGTTTACTTGGTATATGGAGTGAAATGCTTTTGATTTTCAAAGGACAGGGTTTGACGCGCGAAGGAGGATGGACTTTGCAAAACTAAACTGAAGAACAAAACTTCCAAAATTAATTGGTTACCATTTTCATGCATAATTCTGGGCAAATGAGGGTCCTGGTATGCATTTCTAATGTTTATGGACTGTAAACGTTTCGACCCTTTGCTCAGTCCCAAAGAACATGGCAGTCATATGGTCGAAGACGCTTAAACCCATCTTATTGGTATTGTTCTTTAGGAAAGTCTATAGAACTTATGGGTAAAGGGCAAATTCGTTGTTCTTGAGCATCATAGTCCAAACTATATCTAATTTTAGTGCCCTAAATGAACATAATTTTAGGCATAATTTTGAATGTTTGGACCTAATCTGGGCTTGTGGCACAGGAATTGAAGAAAACGGGCATTTCTTCCTGCATTGCCCCCCCCCCTTTTGTTGCAGCGTAGAGATCTCCTTGGTCAGCTCCGGGACCTTCCTGGCATTGACACTGAGAGTTTGGATTCTGAGAACTTTGTTTATTACTACTATGTGAAAGTCCAAACGAAAATGTGTTTGTGAACAAAACGGTTATGGAAGCGACCATCTCCTCCATCAAATTACCACAGAGATAAGACTAGAGATCCATCCATAAAACTGTCGTGCACCCTAATCTTTGCAGTGTACACTTTTTGAGCAAACTTTATAAGAAATCCTTGTAACGTAATATTGTAAGTGTTGTTTGCAGTGCCAACACGGTGACCCTATGTCCTTCGTCGCTGCAAACGAAATATAGCTTATTAGACTATTTTAAATGGATGACCATAAAACACTAGCTCTGGGAAAAAAATTCATATTTGGTGGTATTTCAAGTTAATCAAAATCCTACCTCGATTACACTGTCAATCTGTGATGGCAAACAGCACATGAATGTTAAATCAGTTGACTCAACCAACTAGAAACGATAAAGAACATCATAAACTGTTAAAAGGTCCTTGCAATTCTAAAATTTATGCGTTTATTCCAATTTGCCACAACAAATCATCAAGACTGTGTGTAGTTATAATATTTTGTTGAGACAGAATATCACATTAACTTTTTAAATCTATATTCACAAAAATCTTTATCATTGCAATTTACATCATCGATGATGATTTAAATAATTGATGATACTTTTCTTATTATTCGATGAAGATTAATCAAATAAAATTTGGCAAAATTGAATTTGAACTTTGAATGAAAGATGTAGCAAAAACCCCACACCTGATTTAATTGCCAAAACTTTATGAATTCATTATATGCATCAGAAAGTGATATTATTTAAAATGTCACAAACAAAAATTACTCTTTATACTTGTTAAGCCTTTTATACATTTAAGAATATAAAGCTGAGTAATACCGTGTCAAATCTAATTTCAATTTACTTTATTTTGGTGCCTGGGAATTTCAACTATCTGTTAAAAACTAAACATGGCAAAGGGACGCTGCATAATAGCAGATCTAATTGGTGAAAATATATCAATAAAATCATACAGGAAGCTGAAGTTATTTCAAAATTATTGAATGACAAACTCTAGGTCTAATATTTGTGTTGGTAAAGTACCTTTTTATTATCAAAGAAGCATCTTATTCCAACTTCGGAAAATTCACTTAAATTTTCAGGCCTTCTTGTTGAGATCAGAATTTCTTCTGCGTGTATATCAGCTATAAAAAATAAAAAAAAGAAGTGATAATGAATTTTGATGGATAACCTGAATTAGTTGAAAAAAGATTATGGTAAAACCAAGAAAAATAACTAAATAAAGAAATTATCAAATTGACCAAAAATGGCAGTTTAACTCTTTCAAAGAGCTTTCATGCCTGTTACCTATGTTTAGAGCAAAAAGCATCTACAATAGAGACAAGAAATAAATTTATGAGACAAATCATTTTTGGAAACATGCTAATTTAGTTGTAAAGATATAAAGAGTTAGTGAGAGTTTGCTCTCCCATCAAATTTTGAAAAGTGTCCACATAAAAAACATATCTATCTGGGATGAATTTGATACCAATTTGATACTGCTAATCTGACACCAAAATTTGGCCCATTTGACAAAAAGGTAGATATTATCATTAAAAGACAAGTTGACTCTGCTTAAAGTCATTCCTTTTAAAGCAACACTTCCACTTACATTCATAAAATTGAGACCCAAATACAAAACTGTTCAAAAAACTCTGGTTAAAATCATACTCTACTTACTTATGGGCTATGACACAAGTTGGAAAGTTGGGGGAGGGAACAGAAAATTTAATATCATTCAATAGCAAAATATCTTGAACTTTACCAGAGTCTGAGAAGACAGAAGAGAGTTGGTGTAACTCAACCAGAGTCTACTATATGGAATTCTAAAACAACTACTGATAAACAAGCAAATTACAAAAAATGAGAATAAGGCTTACAATACTTTTGAAAATTCTCAACCAAAGATTTGCCAATAGCACCACATCCTAGAATACCAATTTTTAAAGGTCTTCGTTTAGGTACTTCCTTCCAAGGTTTTGGGCAAGCCTACAAGTAACCAAGACTTCAAGACTTACATGATATCAAACAACTTACAAGTAATAATGGCTTTCCTGCTAAACAAAATGGATTGGAGTTTCGCAACCCAGATGATAAATGACTGTTGTGACAAATTTTGATCGGGAATTTTAATTATAGTGATGAATTGCTAACAGAATATAAATTCTAAAAAACAAACATTCTCGTGATATCTATCTTAAAGGCAGTGTGTCCCTTCAATGATTGGGTTATATGAACAATAGCTTATCCTGCCTTAACGGATTACACTGCTCCCTTTGGCTGGCTTAGCTTTGGCAGTGGACAACATTTGAGATCGTGAGCAAAAAGGCTATTGGAAATGGCAAGAAGATTTAATTACTGAAATTGAATGATGATAATGGAAGCATTTCTTTTCCCTGTTGACTTATATGTGGCAGAAACAAAACAGGGAACAAATTTTTTCTAGCCACAACTTCACTACAACAGGGACAAAGCCATTTGATTCATAAGCTTTGAAATCAAAGTTGTCTCTGATTGGTTTAAATCATTTAATTATCAATCAAGCTCAACAGTGCGTGAATTTCACTCCTGTGAACATGAAATTGAGCACAATATGAGACAGACTGCCTTTAACCAAATTAAGCAAATTTTTCCTTTGAAAAAGAGTTGTAGATATGGAATAACAAAATACAAATATTCCTTCTATAATATCTATGCAACTTTCTTTCCTATTTAAACTCCAAACTGTTGAATTCAAACAGTGCAACAGAAAGATTCATAACAACCAAAATTTTTTATCTTATGGTAGAGAATTCAAGCTGAGAAGCAAATTCTTTTAAAAACTGACCTTTTTTGTCTTCAAGCTCTCTTGTTCATATATCAACCTTTTTCCTTCGTTTATGATAGCAACAAGATAGCATCTAGATATGTTAAGCAACAAATTAAATGTCGGTAAAAAAGTAAAAAGGACTTTCTCTGTTATAATAAAAGCAGCAGATACAAATAAATAACAATCTTCTATACTACATAGAATTATAAGAAGATAAAGATAAGCCATTATTCTTATGAGCACCTCCTTATTCTAAAGAGTCAATGGTAATTTGGTGGCATTTTGGTAACGATACCAGAAATCTTCTAAAGGCCATTTGTTACTATGTGAAAAGGTATTGCCAAGTGTGAATCTTTCCTGAAACAGGATTTTCAAGCTATTCAACATTGTGTTGGTCTTTAGGCTGAAAAGTAAGATGACACTTGCATGCTCAAAGAATGAAGATCATTTTAAGAATAATAAAACCTAAGAAAATACAATAGACAAAGGGCAAAAACTTACGCTTGACCAATCATACATGTCCTAACAGCATGGCTTCGTTTCCTTACGTAAAGTATATCCCTTAAAAAAATAGAAAAGCTCGGGTAAGCATAAATACACACCAGTAAAAGAGGCACTGCACCCCCAACACTTTGTCCGTCAGCACACAAAAAATTTTGTTGGGCAAAAGAAGAACTTTTCTCACCCAGTAGAATAATCATAAACATTTCTGTAGCAGTTGAACTTTCAAAGTATGGCACTAAAGTATCTTTTTTAAATAGGTTGAAAATAGACAAGGAGTCATACAGCAGGTTTCGTTTTGCTGAACACACCTTTATGAACTCAGGAAAATGCCCCATTTTGTAAATGCATTTGGAAAGGCTATGGCCTTTTTTCACTAGCAATGTTTACTAGCTAATCAAACAAAATAACAGTCATATGTAGCTTTTTGTTGCTGACCTCATTCTACAACTGTCTATTTCCTTCACAATTCCTCTCATCAGGGGCGTAACTTGGCCAATAGTTTTGGGGGGGGGGGTGAAAAGGGTTTCTGCCCTGCAAAACTGAGTGGTGCCCTGCAGACCTAGTAGCAACGGTTTGTCTATAGGTTACTAGTGAAAGCTTTACCAGTGTACACTGGTCTTTACCAAGGACAAACTTCTAAGCAATAGAAACAAACTTGGAATTTCATTGCCTATGAAATTTCTATTTTTCTACGTGAGCGTAAATTGTTTTTTTATATTCACTTCATTTAGTGTTGGTTTGCAAAATTAAGCTAATAAAGAGCTAATTGGGGGGGGGGGTACATGATGTAGACAGCGCAACGAAATTTAGCCCAGTGGGGCTAAAAGTCGAGTTTAGTGAGGTAGGAGGACCCACCATGGTTGGGTCCGACGTGAAGAAATTTTTTGAAATTATACCTTGTAAAAGGGCTGAAAAGCATCTTTCAGACAAAAATTTAGCAAAATACTATTGTGCTAAAAGAACTGATTGTTTATTGAAAATATTATTGTTGATTGGGAAAAATAGGAAGGGGGATGTCATGCTAAAACTCTAGTGTTAGACGTTGGGGAAGGAAAGAAACGGCAACCTTTCGTTTCAGATTGCACGTAGTTGTGAATGACAGAGGAAGATGTTGTTTTGATTGGGAGAATTTTTTTTTCCTGAACAGAAATGTGCAGTTTCTTGTGTCAAGAAGGCCATGTTTACACATCCAAAATTAAAACATTGCAATGATACAGAAAATGATTTACTGAATTAATGCAAATGAAAGAAAATAATAAAAATTTACGTGAAAAAGTTAGCAATTCGATGAAACAAAATCGGTATCTTAACAATTTTTTATGTTTTTTAGTTCATGGACTGTTAAAAAGTAATAGAAAAAATGATAAAAAAATCCTATCTTGACCAAAGTGAGGGACTTCAGCCCCTTATTCCTCCCCAGTGACGCCGTGCTTGTCATGAAAATAATTTACAACTTAAATTAATTTATATGGACTCAATCTTGCCCTCATAAACATATGCATCAATCATTGCATCCATTGGCTATGACTTTCGGTAAGGAATGCTTTCGCTTTGCTAATAACGGAGCTCTTCCTGACATACCTGTTCCGTTCTCTAAAATGCAATGTCAGGAAGGAAGGTTTATAACAAATATAATATTTCCATTTCAAAATTCGTGAACGGCCCTTTACGAACTTCATAGGTGGCATTTCTGCGTGGCAACAAAGCTCTTCTTGGCGCCCTGCGAAATCTTCGATTGCCCTGGGAAATCGACTATTCTTTGGATTGGGGGGGGGTGTCACACCCCCCCACACCCCACCCGGTAGTTTCGCCCCTGCCTCTCATGCTTATATTCTGAATTGTGTAAGGCAAAGAAGTTCTACATGTAAAAACTGATTTTCCAAAGTTGTTTGCAAATATCTTAAAATAATAAAAAGTATTCAAAAATTTCAAAGTGAGTTCGTTCTCCTTGGAGCAAAATCTGAAAATTTCCCTGACAAGCATTTCAGAAAGCAGTTTTTTAAAGGATTAAAGCACCACAGCATTTTAGTTTCTTTTATATCAGGAATGTCTAAAGAATTTGAAGGATTTTTCTATATAAACCCTAAAATGAAGGGAAAAACTTCTGTAGAGGTACAGAGGAGGGTACACTTTGGGCTAAGCAAGCAAAAAATTTATGCGACTGCGCCCTTAGATTAGCTCAAAATACATTAAAAGCTTGCAGTCTTTAAAAATGTTTTAATTTTGTCTAAAATATCAGCCCCCCCCCCCCACTCAGGCTCTATTTTCAATGCATATTTGCACTTTTTTTCAGAAACCAACCTTCTGAGCAAGGGGGGGGGGGGTTGAAGCCCTCCTATGCCACCTTGCTAAGCTACTGCATAGAAGATAACAACTAAAACCTAAAATAGGCGAGCAAGAAAAGGGGAGCTAAGAAAAGTCACTACCAAGAAGCCCCCAGGGGTTTTTGGAACAAGGGAACAAAAATGCCAAAAGTGGTATACATACAGGAACATGGGAACAACTTAAATTTTTCACTGGGAACATGGGAACATTTTCCTAGTTTAAGGGAATGAGGGGAAATTTTTGACATTTTTCAACAGGAACACGGGAACAATGGTTATTTTTGTCAAAGGGAGCACAGGAAAAAGTACCCCCCCCCCTCCCCGGAGACTCTCACTACCACCTTGGTCGGGCGTGGGTTGTGACACGCCCACACACAAACTGCGCGCCTTTACATATTGGCCGCAAAAAATCCCTAGATTAACTTAACTAAGATTAACGGTCCCTAGAACAACAAACAGTGTATGATTTCAGGCACACATTTTCAAATTTTCAAAGTAAACTTGTCCGCGCAAAAGAAAAAGTTTCCAGTTTGCCTTGCGACGAGCCTGTACCTTGTCACAGCCAGGGGTGTAGAGCTGTAGGGCTGAGCCCCCCTTGTTAATGCCTGAAACTGGCAATTTTCTACTTTTGCTATTGTGTTTTGAAAAAATTTGTGCAAGAGCCCCCCTTGTTACTTTGATAGCACTGGTCACAGCCTCAGTTGAGAAGTGGTTGTGTGTGCCCCTAGCATGTTTTGAGCAATTAGCTTGAAAGGACTGAAATAATTTCTGGATTCATACCTTTCTTCTGCATTTAAACCAGCGTCAAATGAAAGGCTTTGCAGATTTGCCGTGATATCTCCTGACAAAACCGCCATATTGGATATCTGTTTGTGTTGCTGTTGTGGTGCTATATCCAATGATGTATCAGGTTCAGGTTACCAAGGTTACAACGAGTCTTGGGATGAACTTCAATCCCCAGGTTTTATATCCCTTCTCCCCGGTTCAATATCAATATCGCTGCTACTTGAAAAAATACTCTCCAATTTTGATGGGGGGGGGGACAGTGGCGGAAATTATGTGGGCATGGGGGGGGGGGGGGTTACAGCTCCCCTATTCAGCGTTCTTGCGGAAAATTCGGGCTTTCGGCAAGTTAAACTTCTGCCGCTATATTCATAACTACGACAGGAGTGGTACTAATAGTCAAACTATATTCTAAATCTATATTCTTTCTAAACGTGGCTTTACAAATTTACCTTTTTTAAATCTACTGTTATATATGTTTCAACCGTTTCAACCATGAGCCTTTCGTCATCGCAAACGTCCTTTAGCCCCCAATCGAATGTTCTCATAGAGCCTTATGCTAAACACTTTTTGCTCAATCCATTTTTTACGGCGATACTTTCTCACGTTTATGTTTTTATTCATTTCTGAAAAATTGCCGAGGTATGAACGTTTCTGAGAAGAATAAGGTGTCAACTCAATCACTCAGCTCTATAATATGCTGCTTAAAGTCGCGCGTCGAAACTTTCTTCAGTCAAAGCGCTTGTGATAAATAACCTATTTCCTATTCTATAATCGAGAGTCGGTAAATTATTTTAGGCTGGTACCAGTATATCTTGAACAATAACTCTGAGCAGTCTACCTTTGAGTCGAGTATTATGTTTTTATGTTGCAGATGAGCATCATTTATCGCGATATCAGTTAATTTAACGATGAAGAGTTGATTTTAAAGAAGTAAGCAATTATTCCTATACGCGGTTAGTTTCTCACACTATGTACATATTGCAAACACAATGTTCAATGAATCTAACGTAATACCACATATTGTCAGGGTCGAGTGACGGCAATCGGCACGTGTTGTATGACTGTAAGAGTCTGCTCGGGGAATGCGAGTCAAATTCAATTTTAACAAAGGCTATCACTACTAAAACACAAAGAATACTTCATTATGTTATCCATATCAATAACTATATCAATACATGATCATGTAAATAAACTAGTTCGGAGTCTACATTAAGTAAATACTATCTATCTCTTAGAGAGTCCCGCAAAATCGAACGAAATCACGATTACGAATAAATTAAAAAGTTAACATTTATAATTTATTCTGGCTATGACATAGCAAACCCGCCTATTATCAATGAGCGCAAGGTAATCAATCCTACGCATAAGAGTTTTAATCATATTCTGTGATAGCGATAACACAGATATAGTATCAGAGTGCTGTTTACGAGTTTAAAAGGACGGGGCATGCTGAAGTGTCGTGCTTACATTGCTCATGTGTCATACAAGATCTTATCCTCTATTTGGTCTATATAACGGAAATAGTACCAGCACCTTTAAGTATATTTTTGTGTACTCTCCTCTATTTTTGTCGACTTATCAAAGTCCACCAAACAAAGCGTTCATTTATGCGTATAATAAGTAACATCAATAAAAGTTTCAACGCTGCTACAGCCTGCCTCATTGTCTCTTTAAAAGCAGAACGGTGTAACTTTTTTCGGCAATCCTTACCTGTACAGTTGTCCCACATGAGTTTTTTCATACCACTAAAAAACTCCATATATTGAAAATTTTATTCTTTGACTCTTTTTTTCCAATATACAATCCCAACAAAAATATAATTGGGTCATCGAGAATAAAGTCAAATGTCATTTGTAAAGTTGAATTCTGCCGTTGTAAATTTCTTTAACAGCTTTCCTTGTATTCATCACATAATTTACGCGGTACTAAGAATCTCTCTGATGATTCATTGATGTACTTCCTTTTCTGGAGCCAAAGACAAAAAATACACCTACCATAAAGTCTTACGCTATATCCAATGACACACGATTATATTTTAACCGTTTTATTGAATGAACCGTCAGCTTACTTGTCAAACTCTCTTCTTGCCGACTGGAATTAGTCTTGAAGTTGCAAATCATAGCAGACGCGCATGAAAGGCTCATGGCATAACACACAAGATCAGAGATCATACGAAAAAACCCTGTCTTCTTCACTCCCCATTTTAATTTAATGTGCAAAAATCCATTTTTAGCTCAGAAAATTTAATTCTAAGAAGCGTAAAAGTTTCATTTTTGGATCTCTTTTCTGCTCTCGAAAAAAGTTTCGTCCCGTATCACATTAAAGATTATATTTTATTAAATAATGAGAGAAATGGCATATGAAAAAAAGCTATCTCAGATTCGCTGCTCTGAGTCCAAATCAGAGGGCTAACAGTGGTAAAGAGCAGCAAGTGTGAGCGTTGTGGAAGTCAGTTCTGTGCAAAGGAAAGAAAATGGAGGTTCGGGGAGTTCGAATGGATGGTGGTACCCCGATGCCCCCTATGCTGGCCGGCGTGGCCTTTCTCTTACACGGTCCGTTGAGGTATTTTTCGTCAGGTTCGTGTTTTGA